CAAAAATAAACATTAAAAAAAAAAAAAAAAAAGGAAAAGAAACATGCTAAGTGGGAAAAAAAAGCCAGTCACAGAAGACTGCGTATTATATAATTCTATTCAATAAAATGTCTAGGGGTGCCTGGGTGGCTCATTCTGTTTAGCATCTGACCCTTGATTTGGGCTCAAGTCATGATCTCATGGTTTGTGAGATCGAGTCCTGCATCGGGCTTTGGGCTGACAACTCAGAACCTGCTTGGGTTTCTCTCTCCCTCTTTCTCTACCCCTCCCCCACTCAGGTGCTCACTGTCTCTCTCACTATCCCAAAATAAATAAGTAAACCTTTAAAAAATAATAAAAATAAATAAATAAAATGTCTAGAATAGGCAAATCCATAGAGATGGACTCAGAGAGGCTGGGAGTGTGGATTGCTAACAGACACAGGGTTTCCTTTTGATGTGATGTGGGGATGGTTGCACAGCTCAGTGAATATAATAAAAACCATTGAATTGTGCACAGACGAATTCTGTTGTATGAAAATAGTATCTCAAAGCATAGAAAAGAAGAAAGGTTTGATTCTGAACTTGTTCAGATTGAAAAATCTCTACCAAAAATACCACTCTGCCATTCTGTGTTCTAGTAGTACAGTCTGTGGTTTTCATTATCAGTAAGCACAAATGAAGTTCTTTCTTGTGTTAAGTTACAGTATAGGGATGAATATTTAAACGTTACTTTTCAATGAAACACTTAAAAAGTCATATAAATATAATGGATTTGTTAAAGCAAATACTTTTAAAATCAGCTTTATCAATGTATAACTTACGTTAGTAAAAGAGACATTTTCATCATACAATTTGATTAGTTTTGATAAATACATACACCTGGGTAACCACTATCTTAATCTATAGCCATCACCCCAGAAAGTTCCTTTGTGCTCTCTTTGGAGTTAACCCTCCACTCAACCCTCTGCCCCAAGGCAACCATTGATCTGATTGCTACTACTGTACTACACTGTGCTATTCTATTACTTAAACTATTAGTACAGTTTTAAAATAAATGGTTTCATTAAAAAAATAAACTTTATTTTTAATTTCTTGAATATATTTAATATCAAATAAAATTTTAATACAATTGCAGTGTTTTTGTAAACCTGCTTACGTGAAATTTGGATGTATAGAAGAAAAGATACTATTATAAGGAATTGCTTTAAATGAAAAGATGAGTATGAATTATATACCAATATGTGAATTTGAATCAGGAGCTTATCTTTTTGCCTCTCTATCTGGAATAACATGAAAGTCCTGGTAAAGAAAGTTGAATGCAGCCATTAGAAGATCTGGTGATTCTTTTATAAAGCTTGTTTTGGGCCTTCATAAACCACTTAGAAAAGACAAATAAATGAATTCATTAGCTCTAGTAATGTTGCTAAGATACAGTGTCTCGCCATTGTTATTTCTTGTGTTGCAACCAAAGAAAGATGGCCCTAATGAATAAAGATATAACTGAACCTAATTATAGTGCCGACCTCAAGGACTAAGGATAACTTTTGTGTCACAGTGAGAGAGATGCACTGTGAATACTGAAAATGTCATCTTGTTTTATGTACAATATGACCCATATTGACTCTCCAGTGCATTATTCTGTCTTTAACTTAGAAGATATCTCTCTTAATCTTATAAAAAGATACACTTTTTTTTTTAATGTTTTTTATTTGTTTCTAGGAGAGAGAGAGAGAAAGAGACAGCGTGAGGAGGGGAGGGCCAGAGAGAGAGGGAGTCACAGACTGAAACAGGCTCCAGGCTCTGAGCTGGCAGTCAGCACAGAGCCCGACGCGGGGCTCGAACCCACGAACCGCGAGATCATGACCCAAGCGAAAGTCGGACGCTTAACCGACTAAGCCACCCAGGCGCCCCATAAAAAGATACACTTTTTAACCAGTATAGAATGTAAGCATTATTGTAATGACTTTTTCTCTGAGATATGTGTTTTGAATCATAATTACTTAGGTTGAGTGCCACCTTTGAGCCAGGCACCAAGCTTGATAATTTACATGCATTCTTTCTAAGTTTTCACAACTCTTAGGATGATTAGAGAAGTCTCATCTTGAAAAGGATGAAACTGAGCCTCGAGTATAAGTAACTAGATGACACAGCCAGTGAGTGATAGAACTGGGATTCTTAGGTGGGGAAATCTTGGTCATAATGTGAAAATCAAACTTTGAAGCTTGGAACAAAATATAGTTGTATTATATCTTTATAAGTAGGGGTAGGAAAGGATTTAAATAAGGTAAAATAATCTATGCCCATAAAGAATATGACTGATAAATTCAATTATATTCCAGTTAAAAATGTGTTTAAAAGAACACAATAAATAGCAATGGCTAACATTTATTGAATGTCTGCTGTGCACTAGTACAGAGTTGTACATCGTTTCCAGGTGCTTAACGTGTAGAGCAAATACATAGGCACCTATAAGGGAATGACACAGGAATAATGCACATCCACTTGAAGATGGAGGGGAAGGGGGAGAAATCTCACTATATCTGTAGTGTCAGTAGTAAACGTCTGGTGGTTAAGAGCACAGCCTCTACTGTGTCCTAGTTTGTACAACCCAGAGCAAGTTTCTTAATCTCTGTTTCCTCATCTGAAAATGAGAATATTAATAGTACCTCTCCAAGGATGACAAGAATCCAATGAGTTAAAACATTTAAAGCATTTAGAATAGTGCCTGCCTGTATAGAAAAGGCTCATTAAATGGTAACTATTACTATGTTTCAGGGCAGCAAGAGATAGAAGGAAATATGGCAAAATGTTAACATCTGTGAAGTCTTTTTTGCTGTATGCTGCTGTGGGTGTTTGCATAATTAAATTTTTTTCATTTAAAATCTTGATCGTAGTGAGCATTCCATGTTTTCATTGTGACAAAGAAGCCAGGGAAGCAGACGTGGGCTGGTGCGTCTCAGAGGAGCGCGCTCACATTCTCTATGCTCACGTTCTCTTTGTAGATAAATTCTAATATACCTTATCATGCTTACCAGCTTGTTGGCCAACAGCCTGTGCTGCTTACATAAACAAAATGTAATGTCACCTAGAAGCAGGCCTGGCATTTCTGATACAGAGGGTGGAGTTAAGCCAACAAAAACCTGACTCATCCTGTTAATGCCAAAGTGTGCACTATACAACTAATCAACAAACACAGGGTAATCATCAGAGATGCTGCACCAGAGCATAGGTAAACATGGCATTTGTCTAAATATTTGTAGTTGTGAGCCATTAATGGCCCACAGAGTTAAGCAACCAAAGAACACTTAAGTTCCAGAAATCTCTCCCCATCTACTACTGTGAGAATGGGAAGGGTGGGGAACTTGAAGTATTTGAGGAATCCCTAAGTGTGCAGGTTGAAGGAAGGTTATATCATCAGGAAAAGTAGAAACTGGAACTGGATGGGCTGCTATTTGTTACAGGAAGGGGAAGGAATCAGTAAGAGAAGCTGTCTACTTAGTAAGTCCTGTTGGTTGTCTTGAGCGTTTAGATCTACAGATGTTTAGATGTACAGTTTAGACGTACAGACATCTGACTGTAATGGCCACTTGCCATTAATATTGTCGATATTTTTGTTAAGGCAGCTAAGAATGGAGCAACAGGTGTGGAGTTGGACATTGAGTTTACTTCCGACGGGATTCCTGTCTTAATGCACGATAACACAGTCGATAGGACAACTGATGGTACTGGTCGGTTGTGTGACTTGACCTTTGAACAAATTAGGAAGCTTAATCCTGCGGCAAATCACAGGTTAAGGTAAGTGGTTCATTGTCACTTAAAAGTACCTTTCACCTTTGTTGGAGATCACAGAAAGACACTAGCACCTCCTAATCACATCTTCTGCTCCAGGAAAATTGTTTTGTTGTGTTTTGTTTTGAACTGTATACAAGTTTCTCAAGTAATAAGCACGGTGCCAGAAACAATAGAAATATGGCATGGATGTTTTTCTTCTTTTCCCACTGAGACCAACTTTGGCTTTGGAATTATTCTCAAGACAATACTCTACCTAGTCACTAACATTACTAACATTAGACAGTTACTCTATACTGTCATGTAAGTTTTATATATATATAATATACATACTTATATACGTAAAAATTATATGTATATAATTATATATATTAACTTACATTTATATATATTATATATATATACATATATATATCAGAACTAGTCTTATAAGATATTCCACAAAAAAGTGTTCTGTGATCAACTAAGATCAAGCACTATACTCTAGATGTTCCCCTTGGGGGTAAACAGTCCACATCAGTCAATTCTTACCTTCAATTTAATGTTTCCCAAAGGTGATGATCACAGAACTCATACGATTCCCATCATTAACAGCTATAAACAAATTGGAATTCATATATTGGGTAATAAACTTTGGAATGTGGTTATTTAAATCCATCTCCTCTTCTTTATAGTACTAAAAAAATGGTGTGCTCATTGTTAATCATCTTGTATCAGTTCTCTGGACTATGATCAATACTCCTTGAGTATTGAGTATTCAGCCCAGTGATTATGTTACAGTTCTCTGTAAAAGATTTAGAGTTTATTTTCCTAGGATCTGAAAGAAGTTAAAAATCAAATAAAGGAAATTATACTTTAATCTAGAAAGAATATTATTAACAGTTGAAAGTTCTGAGTGCAGGCTCTGAAATTGCTCTTTACTATCATCAGACATTTCAGTGTTCTGCTATATGTGAGAGAAAGGCAGGTTTTAATACTGCAGTGACATTGCAGCTAATAAGATCTTAGCTTCAAAGTCAACAATTAAAGGAAAAAGTGCTCAGGGTCATCATCACCTTTAAAATCCTTTAAGGAGGTACAGTACTGTGGATAGATCATCCAGACATAAAATCAACAAGGAAATGGTCTTTGAACAAGACATTAGATCAGATGGACATAACAGATGCATGCAGAACACAGCATCCAGAAACAACAGAATATACATTCTCTCAAGTGCCCATGGAGCCTTCTCTAGGATAGATCACATGTTAGACCACAAAACAAGCCTTAGTAAATTTAAGAAGATTGAAACTGTAATATGCATCTTTTCTGACCATAATGGTATAAAACTAGAAATCAGTCAATAAAAAACTGGGGAAAACACAAACATGTGGAGGCTAAGTGACATGCTACTAAACAACTAATGAGTCAACAAAGAAATCAAAGAAGAAATTTCAAAATAAATGAAGAAAGATGAAAACACAACAATCCAAAATCTTTGGGACAGAACAAAAGCAGTTCTAAGAGGGAAATTTATAGCAATACAGGCCTATCTCAAAGAAATAATAAAGAAAAATCCCAGACGGTCAAGCCTTAACAGAACTAGGAAAAAAAGAACAAAGCCCAAGGTGAGTAGAAGGAAGGAAATAATAACGATCAGAGCAGAAACAAATGAACCAGAGACTAAAAAAAACAAGTAAATAGAAAAGATCAATGAAACCAAAAGAGGATTCTTTGAAAAGATAAAATTTATAAACTTTTAGCCAGAGTCATCAAAAATTACCTGTAATGATTCTGGAAATCCATGGAGGAGAGAAACCACTGTTTGAAAATGCTGGCGTCTATCATGTAAGCAGCTACCTTAAATAAAATCCAAACTCTGGATTCTAGTGAATGTGTATAATTATAATGAGCTAGATGTAGGGCAACAAGTTTAGTAAAAAAGAAAAGACCATTGGCTAAATTCTTCATGATCATATTCCATAATTTTATAAACTTTCCAAGTTAGAGAAGTTGGAGTGATTTGGGGGGAAGGGGAGAGGAAACTTACAGAAGTTTTACAATCACCTTTAAGGCATTACTGTTAAATTTTGATGTGCTAATTGACTTTCTGTGTGTTAATAGGCTTGAATGTATTCATGTACACATTAAGTAATATCTTAATTTGTTTTTGGAACTACAGCAGAACATGTATAGAATACTGTTCTTTCACTCATTAACATGCCTGAAAAGCATTCACTTTTCCTTATTCTCCAGTGGGTTTTAATTTTTTTGTTTGTTTGTTTTTGTTTTTGTTTTTATTTATTTCTGAGAGAGAGAGACAGCGTGAGCAGAGGAGGGTCAGAGAGAGAGAGGGAGACACAGAATCTGAAACAGGCTCCAGGCTCTGAGCCAGCTGTCAGCACAGAGCCTGACGTGGGGGTCGAACCCATGAACCGTGAGATCATGACCTGAGCTGAAGTTGGACACTTAACTGACTGAGCCACCCAGGCACCCCTCCAGTGGGTTTTAAAGAAAGGAGTATGTGAAAAATTTCTAACTCACATAAAAAAACCTCTAGACAGAGAAGGAAAATCAAATGAAAACTATCCTCTGGGTAACCATTTCCCATTACTGTGTTACATTACCTCACTCTACATAGGTTTTTCTTTTACTACCTCTAATCTGTATTGAAAAACAGACACTGAGAACTAATTAAACACCTTTCTCACTTCGGGGGGGAAAAGTACAATATTGGAGTCAGTGTACCATCTTAATGTCTTTCACTCAGCCAGTCTTTATCCTACAGGTGGGGACTTGTTGCATTTTCTTTGTTTGGACACCAAATGAAGAAAGAGGCTTGTGTTTAGGGACCATGTTGTAGGAAAAATAGGTATTTTCTCTAGAATTATCCTCAATGTGGTGAGATGCTCATTCTGAGAGGGGGCACAGAAACTAAGACTGGCCAAAGGAGTGGCAAAGAGACCAAAGTCTCTTCTCTCACTCCCTTGGAATAGGCACTGAATAGAACGGCTGGCAGAATTGCCTGTACTATTTAAATTCTCTTTCTTTTTTACCAAGATATTATGATATGGTTGAATAAACATAAGTTAAATCTCGTAGAATGAAATTTCATTGTGTGAGAAAAACAAGTTTCTTATATATCAGGCACTTAACTTTCCTTTATCAGAAAATTATTTATAGAAGATTATTTTAAACAGTTGCACTTCAGTGTACAGCAATGCAGTGAACAGATTTATATATTCCTAGGAATTTCTCTTGCATAAGGTTCTATTAGGGCAATTAACAATTTTAAAATTTAAGTTTCAACTACTCCAGAGGTAGCATTATACTCTGCCTTTTGGTGAGTAGAGTTACTAATTATATCATAAACTAGTAATTTCATAAAAATTAAATGATCTTTGTTGTTGCTGTTCTTTGGTCAAGAATATCTGTAATCTGGTTTGAGGACTTAAAGCAAATTTTCCTTAGACTTCGGTATGGCTAAAGAAAGGAAGTTAGGGAAAACACACTTTCTGTTGGTTTGGAGACATTTGTCAAATGTCTGTTTCACTAAACTTTTATCTTTCCCTTTTTCCCGCAATACACTATTCCTTTTCCCTCTCTTATAGGAATGATTTCCCTGATGAAAAGATTCCTACCCTGAGAGAAGCCGTTGCAGAGTGCCTAAATTATAACCTCACAATCTTCTTTGATGTCAAGGGCCATGCAAATATGGTACAGTTTATACCACAGATCCTACAGTTTAATCTCTAGTAATTTCCAAAATTAACTATATATTTTGTTACTTATCCTTCTTATGTTATTCGTACAAACTATATTTGCTTATTGGAAGTTTACAATGCAAAACTCCACATCTTTAGCAAAATAGTAAATTAGGGAATTCTTAACCTTTGATGGAACCTTTTAACAACTCTGGATATTTTACAACTAACAAAATAGTCGGTTTTCTTACTTGCATAAAGCATTTTCAAAAGATATTAAATAAACCATAAAGAGGCGCTTCGTGAATAAAGCACTTGGCTAACCTTGTAAGGAAGAATGTAGGAGTGAGACACAACACCTATTGCGTCTGGCTGATAAGTTAATGGTTTTAGATGGATAAGTATTGACTGTATTTCAAGAAAACTCCTATACATAAAGTTTCTGATAGCTAATAGGATATTTATCTTTTACTTAGAGTTATCCTTCTTGTATGATTTCTGTTCTTATGTATAGTTTTGTTATTTTATGATTTGAGTAGGTATACTTTTATGATAAAATTATTATAATTTCTTCAAATATATATATGACATTCCTAAGTAAAATTTTGCTTATATTATAGAACATATACCTTTATTCAAAAAAACCTATTATTGCAATGGAAAATCAGTGGGAAAATATGGTTTAGATTACATTTGTTCACTTATAACCAGCTTTTCAAATACAAATGCTTTTTTCTGCATTTGGACTACTTACAGGAATTTTCCCCCTTGAAAGCTATAATCGGTAATGGCCACCATTCTGATTATATCAATTTTTTAAATTAATTTCGGGATACAGTTGAAACATTGTTGAAATCTGAAATAAGTGCCTAAGTATATATTCTAACTTTAGCACAGTAAACTCTCATTTTTGAAGAAAGAAAAATGGTACTCTAGCTTATTTATTATTCTGGTACTGATGGCTGTATGCGTCTTAGTTTCCCAGTCAGCCTGCATCAGAATCACCAGGAATACCTATTAAAAATACTAATTCCTGGGCCATATCACTTAGAGAAGAAATTCTAAAAATGTCTGGGAGCGTGGTTTGAGGAACACGTATTTTTAATGAGCACTTTAGGTTTTGTTGATGACATTGCCCACGTTGGGATCCCTGATAGGTCCTACATTTCACCACAGCATAGTGACCTTCATGCTTATTCTCTTAGAATAAAAGGGGAGGAGAAAAATATATTTTTTTTAATCCAGCTATTTGAGCTTTCTGGTTTGGTGCTCATAGGTGGTTTGGGCAACAGTGGATAGAACATAGTGATCTGATTCACCAAAATGTAGTATAAAGGAAGAAGTGTAGTAAATTAGAGATAGTAGAGCACAGGAACCAAGATCATGGGCTTTGGAGTCCAACAGATGCTGATTAAACTCTGTCACTTACTAAATGTAACCTTAACCTTGATATGCTTCAGTTTCCTCATGGGTAAAATGAGAATAATAAAAGAAACAACTACATACGGTTGTTATGAGAATTAAATAATGTTGGTGAAGCATTACACATAGGACATATGTTAGTGCAGACAGCAAGAAAACGTTGGCTCAATAGCTCACACTCTTGTCACATTAATGAAGGGGAAACATGACATGAATAGTTCCTATTTTCTTTTTTCTTTTCTGGAATGCATTTTGTTGCTTTTATTTGGTTATAAGAATGTGTGACTTTCCAGAATTTAGTGGTATTTCAAGAATTCCGATATAGCAGCATTCCACTCCACCTAATGCCTAGTCACCTCTGTTGTTGTTAGCTGCTATTGATGCCAATGGCCAAATCTGTTAATTCACTAGAGGTTACAAAGTATCTGTGTTTTAACTGTGTCATTTCTTCTTCATTTATTTGTCTGGCAACTACAAAAAGAAACTTCTGCTCATCTTGGGAAGAATTGGAAGACTTCCAGGTCTTCCCAGTTCCTTCCTTGTCCCATTGTGTCTGCCTGCATGTTAGTGATGAATTCCATTTCCTCTCAGTGCCCTGGACTGAGCAAATGTACGCTTAGTAGTTCCCAGGCTGGTTGGCTCATGCTTCAGCTAGGAAAGGCAGAGGATGATGGAGTTATGGGTATAAAAGACTTTTCCTAGTGGCTAAACTAGGTTATAAGGGAAAGGTTTCAAATTTTGCTCCCGGCCTCCACTGCCGTACCTTCCAAAAGTATGGCCAAAGGGGTGAACCTCTCAACAGAATAGCAAAGCAGCAGTACCTTAGTTTCCCTTTTGTCTGCTGTAGGTGTGAATTTAAGATGTTTCCCGGTGGATGATGGAATCTACCAACACTCCTTTCAGCATCCTCGTGTATTAGTAAAGTTCTAATTTATTCAGTAGGGTTGTACTTAATATGTAATAGTTATTAGCTGGTACTATTACATTTAAGTAAATTTTAAATACGTAAATTTCTCTGCTTTACAGGCTACTGATGCTCTAAAGAAAATATATATGGAGTTTCCTCAACTGTACAATAATAGTATCGTCTGCTCTTTCTTGCCAGAAGTTATCTATAAGGTAAATTCAGGATTTTTATTGCACATAATACTATGTTAGTTGATGGTGATCATAGGAATGGCCCAAGTAAGCATAAGCTAGATGCCTGTGAAATTGAACTGAATATTAGTTGAGAAACTCCTCTTTTAACAAGAGAAATTCAGAAAGGGGAACGAACTCTTACCCCACTTTAAAACACCATGATTCTTCTTTAAGTTCCTTCTTTTATGTTGTTCATAGGCTCATTCAGATTACCTTAGTAAGCACTCTCAGAATAAGGAATTATGTACCTCTTCATCTCGCTAAGTAACAGCAGAACAAACCTTTTAAAAAAATAACTCTTAATGATGGAGAATTTAAAATATGCACAAAAGTAGATGGTACTATAACAAGCCCCCCTTTAACCTTGACCTAGCTTGTTTCATCCGTACATACCCCCATTTATCTACCCCAGCATTATTTTGAAGTAAATTCCAGACATCATTTCATCCATAAAAATTGTATTCAGTAAAAGTGATTCCCTTTTTTAAAAAATATAGCCACAGTATAACCATTATCCTATCTAAAACCATTAAGTCCTTAAGATCAGGAAATATCTAGTGAATATATAAATTTTCATGTCTTAAGAAATACTGTATATATGTTTGTCTTTTATAATTGTTAATTTGAATCAGGACCCAAATAAAGACATTCTGTAATATAAAATCTTAGAACCTGTAAGTTCTCCTTTCCCCTACATGTGTTTATTGAAGAATATGGGTGGTTTTGTAGAGTTTACCCAAGTCCAGATTTTGCTCCTTATGCCATGATGCAGTTTAACACATTCTTCTCCTGTATGTATTTCCTATAAATTGGTAGTGAGAGCAAAAGGCTTGATCAGTGGAGGTTCAGTTATTCTTGGCCAGATAGTCTCAAAGATGAGGATATTTTTTTCATCAGGAGGCACATAATGAGAGTCTCATTGACTCTTTTGTTGTTACTGTTTACAGCTGCTATTGATGCCAGTGACCAGCTCTCAATTGATTAGGGGTTGTAAAACCTTAATATGGATAGTTCTGTCATTTCTTCACATATTAATTAGCTAGAATACTTCTGTAAAAATTCTCATCTATTTAGTTATGCAGTTGGCAATTAAATGCTTAGTCCTTGACTTTATTTACCAGTTTCCATGATGAGTTGGTTCTGTAGCATTCTTCACACTGACCAACAGAGTATGCATTTAAAATTTTACGGCAAGAATGGAACCTATCCAGATAAGAACTGTCATTGAGATGAATAGCGTCATGGGGCATTCAGACATTTGGATCAGTGTTTCCCAATCTTACGTGACCACAGAGGACTTCACTGTATGCAGCATTGTCCAGAGGAGCGCAGAGCACAGACTGAAAGAATTACACCTCTGCATCTCCCCATTTCTCCCTGTCTGTCCCCAACTCCTGCCCCTACTTCTCTCTTTGTTCTCTCTCTTCTCACTTACTTCTCACCCCACTTCCCCATCCCCACAACTCTTTTTCAGCCATTTTCTCTAGAAAGGATCAGATGCTAACCAGTCCATCTGGAAATGATCATGGTTCTATCCTCACTGAGTTCTAATTACTTATCTCTGACCAGAATTTAAATTGATAACCAATGGAAGGTTTATTCTTATGACATGAAAATTTGACCCTGAGATTGTAATTACTCATTTTAAAGGTAGAGATAGTGAAGGAAGTGTTCTTATATATTAAAAGTTTCACATCCATTACATTTTTTACTCAAAGGATAGTTTATGTCTGTTTAGTAGACATGGGGGCCAGGGTACCATTATTGCCACCTCATCAGAATGAATACATTGGCTAAATGCAAAGAAGAATGAGAGGTATTAGACTTCAGATACGATACTTATTTTAATTTCCAAAATTACTTTTCAGATGAGACAAACAGATCAGAATGTGGTGACGGCTTTAACCCATAGACCTTGGAGCCTTAGCCATACAGGAGATGGGAAACCACGCTATGATACTTTCTGGAAACAGTCCATGTTCATGGTAATGGACATTTTGCTCGATTGGAGCATGCATAATATCTTGTGGTACCTGTGTGGAATTTCAGCTTTCCTCATACAAAAGGATTTTGTATCCCCGTAAGTTGTAAGGTTTCTTTTTATCTTTTTGTCACAAATTTCCTGGAATGCACTTCTTGGAAAGGAAGGATAAACAGTGGACAGCCTGGATTGGGTTCCCCCCACAAAGCCCACCATGCCTTTATATTTATATTTGTATTTTATTGTTTTCGGAGAGAAGGGCAGAGGGAGGGAGAGAGAGAGAATCTTAAGCAGGCTCCATATAGTGCAGTCTGATTCAGGCCTCAATCCCACGACCCTGAGATCATGACCTGAGCCTAAATCAAGAGTTGGACATTCAACCTACTGAGCCACCTAGGTGCCCACCCACCATAGCTTTATTAAATTGGAATGCCACTAGCTTCTTAGGTGGGAAGAGTTCAGGCATACTTCACTGTGTCCAAAGTAAGTTGATCAAATATTCTTAGTTTTTAGTGCACTTTAAAGGAAACCTAATAAAAAATAAACCTGCCAAACTATGATGGAGAGAGATGTCCTTGTGATTGGCTCCCTTTGAAAAGCAACACAGGATCCAGGCCAGAGCCACAGTGAAGTCACCATGTGAGCACCTAGCTTATCCCTCCCACTTTCCTTCCTGCTCTGCTTTACATTATAGACTCTGCTTCATTGCTTCCAAGAAAACTTTCCATTCCCTAACCTGCTAGCAGTCTCTCACCTTTATTGTGGTAATTTTATAGCTGTGCATTTCAGCTGATTAGAGTTGTTAGTTTTGTATTATTTCAGGTGTGAATGCATTTAGGTCAGTCAGTCTAAGTATAGGCCTACAGTGTTGCAAGGTATCAAGAAGCTGAAGATGCTGTGGTCAGGAAAGCCATGATCTGCCTTCACAGAGTTTATAGTCAAGTAGAAGAGAAGTTACTAATCAAATTAAAATCCAATAACTGTAAAATTACAATTAAGGTAAATGCTATGTAGGCGAGAACAGTGTCCATATACTGTCATTTGACCTAATCACAGGAGTTGGGGAAAACATCCCCAAGGAAGTGACAACTACGCTAAGATCCGAAGGGTGAGGAGGAGGCACCTGGGTGCCTCAGTCCATTAAGTGTCCAGCCCTTGGTTTTGGCTCAGGTCATGCTCTCACAGTTGACAAAATCAAGCCCCACATCCGGCTCTGTGCTGACAGCACAGAGCCTGCCTGGGATTCTCTCTCCCTCTCTCTCTGTTCAAATAATAAATAAGCATTTAAAAAAAAGGCGGAATGGGAACGTGGAGATCCAAGTCACAGGGGAAAACACATGCAAAAAAGTGTTGCAGCAGGAAGGAACCTAGTTCTTTTAGGGACTTGAAAGCAAATCCGTATTCTGCCACACCAGGAGGAACAGGGGAGCGTGGTGTAAGATGAGGCCAAGAAGATGCGTAGGGACGAGCCAGTATGGCCTCCACTCTGACATTTATCTTGGTGTAGGGTGTCTAGCCAGTCACTGAAGTGTAAGCTGGAACAAGGTGGGGGAGGTTCCAGTGCTGGGTTTCGAAACACTCCCTCTGATTGCATGTGCCGAGACCGTTAAGAGACTCTTTTTGGGCACCATTAGTACTCAGTGAACACCATGCTTAGTGACCACTGTAGATTCCTGGAACAGTTGCTCCTTGTTCTGACAGAATTGGTTTTTCCTCTTTCTTCAGGGACTACTTGAAGAAGTGGTCGGCTAAAGGCATTCAGGTTGTTGCTTGGACTGTTAACACCTTTGATGAAAAAAGTTACTATGAATCGCATCTTGGTTCCAGCTATATCACTGACAGCATGTTGGAAGACTGTGCATCTCAGTTCTAGAATTTTCCCCCAGGGAGGAAATCCGGGTACAGAAACTGCCTGCTGGCCTCACGCAGTGATATCAAAATACCCTTTGTGCTAGCCCAAGCCCTGGGGGGGTCAGGAGGCTCACACAAGCAATAGTCAGTGTTTGCATTTTTACCTGAACCAAAGCAAAACCTGGTTTTGCCACCTTGCTCCACGGAATGCCTGACTTCAACACTGTTGCTCTTGAAAATCTGGGTCTGCAAAAAGGCACAACAGCTCCTGCCCCACCCTAGCTGAGGGATACACCAAGACCCAGTGAGGATAAGCACAGATTGAGTTGTGCATTTTGGGGTTGCAGATGCAAATGCATGGGAAATGCATGATCACTCAAAAGTTGACATTTTAAAACTTGACACACTTATGTCATTTACTTATTTAAAATATTTGTATTCAGCTATATTATCAATGTGCTATAGACAGCAAACTTGTGACCATACTAATAAAATCATTAAAAGGAGCACTAAGGGAAGACTGTGTACCAAGTATAATGTCCTAAGACAAGGAATTTAGGGAAGCCTCTCTCTGCAATCCAGTGACCAGAGGCAACAGCCCCTGGTGAGGCTTCAATGCAAAGCAAAGAAAATGGTATGTAAGTCTTGATACTAGTCCTAGGGATTGTTTATGGTATCTGCAAATAAGAGCTATGAGCCACTAGGGGGCAGAGTTACTCTCGTTCCGGCTGCTGTACAACATGACCCTAGAACTGCAAGAAACATCGAAGAACATCTAGACTTAAACCCTCATTTTACAAATGAGAAAACTAAAACCTATAGAAGGAAAAGGTCTTCCTCAGAAATGACCCAGCTGGTGGCATAGCAGAGCCTGATCTCATAAAACTAAAATGTCTTACTGCTTGCCACTAACATTAATGGTTTAATATGCCTCATCTCAAAACCCAGAAAAATCCTACAGGGGTATTATCTTTTAATGGCTGAGGAAACCAAGTCAATGCAAACTTAGTCACTTACCCAAGCTGTCAAAGCCTTCAGTGCATTTGAGATTCAAATCCAAGTCAGTCTAACCCCAGAGCCCCTGCTCTTAACCATTTGTCCTGTCTGCCTTTATAATGTAGAGCCCTTCATTCCCAGCTCTGTGTTCATGAAGCTTCTAGGGGTCTTACTGTGAACTTAAGTGACAATATTTAAGATGAAATTGAGTCTTTAAAAATTGCAAAGCCATCTGTCTCCCATAGCTGCCCCTGTTCCCACCTTCCAGCCCCATCTGCAGTCTTGACCGCAGGCCTTCAGCTTAGTCATGACTTCCTCCTGAGCCCCAGTGGGTCACCAGCCTCACACTCGCAGCGGCCAGACCACCAGTCCACACAGCTAGATGGCAGAGAGAAGCACACCACGTTTGGCTACAGTTGGTGTTGGCAAGAGCATGATGGATGGGGCCTGGGACATTTTCAATAAGTATTTACAAAGACATTTTCTCACATCTAAAGATTAACAACAGGACAAAGATTTATTCAAGCGATGTAACAAATAACTCTATGTCCTTTCATGCCACATCATGACTAGAATGTCAAGAGGAGGAGGTGACCAAAGAAAACGTCTTTGGATTGAACCCCTGCTCTGACAGACTGTGCAACAACCAACAAGGGAGGAATTCTCTTGGGGGCAGCACAGCATTAACCTCCCCTCTGTTGTGGGAAGACCTCTTGAGAGTCAGGAGGCCTCTGTTTATTGACCTTTGTCCCAAATCCATTTTGCCCTTAACTCAGGCCCAATTAAGAATTTAGATCCAGTGCTAAGGTCCTTGAAGATTGGAGACTTTGGATGAAGAAAGAAGGTGTTAGCACTACTATTAAGCACTTGGATGGCTTAGTATAGGGCTTAAAAATGTAAGATTTGGGATCAGAGAAAACTAAATCCAATTTTATGTTTAGCAACCTAATAAATAAACTTGGGCAAGTTACTTGATTCATCCTGTACAATAGGGGCAGTATTGGTACCACCCTAGGGAGTGGCTGATTAAATGACAGAGTGCATGTAAAAGGCTTATTAATAACTAACATGTCCTAGACACTGCTTGAAATGCTAACCATGTGTTTGCTCTGCAGCAACACCATGAGGTTGCTGCCGTCAAAATCGCACATTACAGTGAAGGAGACCAAAGCACAGGGAAGTTCAGTATCTTGCCCAAAGTCACACAACAGTAATAGTGTAAGGATTTGGTCCCGGTGATGTGGTTCCAGAGCTCACACTCCAAACCCCTGCCTATCCTCATGTCCAGTCCATAGCAAGTACTCCCTAATGAGAAAAATCATTCCCAATCCTATTATGGTGCCTGTCCCATAATAGATGGTCAATAAATGGAGGAATGAGTTCTGGGATAGCCAAGAGGAAACTGGAGATACAGACCTAGTGTGAAGTGGGAGTTGTAGATAAATGATTCAGGACTCAGCAGCATCGAGGGGTCGTCTAAAGTCATGATAGGTGGCATTCTTTCCAAGAAAGTCAATACAAATGAAAATTACATCCTCTGCTGTTCTCTAAATTGCCCCTCTTGCCCTCATGATGCCCCAGACAGTAATATGGAAAGAAATACCTCCAAAGACTTAAGAAATTTACTACTGACTTAACAATGCTTATTTTCTTATTTGGAGATCAGTGTCTCAGTGTCTGCAATCCTGTTTTGATAAGAATTTCACCAAGACAAAAATACTTTTTATTATATCCAAATTTCTAAATAAAATTATACCTACCATTTCCTAAAGTGGGAATAGCCCTTCAACAGGACAATAAACCACAGCTCTGAGGACAAATGAGGGTGCGGATTAATGAAGTTCCAAACATGCACACAAACCTTTAGCATAGAGTGATGATTGCTACAGTACAAGGTTATTTCTTTAATCAAACAACTGATGACTGATGACCTTGTATGTTCTCTTATCAAGCTAAATTATGCCTACAATCTCACAATCTGATCAGAGTATTACCTGTATTACCAAGTATTATAAGAGGTTGGATATCACTTAGGCACAATGGTCCTCAAAAGACACTGTCCTTGGAGTCCTGTATTCAATATCAGTCCAAGTAGGACCTACCTTGTTAGAAATGTAAATTCTCAAAACCCATCCCAGAACTACTGAAGCTGAAACTCTGGACTAGCTGTTTCAACAAGCTCTCCAGGTGGTTCTGATACTTGTTCAAGTCTGAGAACCACTGAGCCAGAGAAAAATCCAAAAGTCCTTAATCCTACCACTAACTAGCTATGAGACAGACAAATCACTTAACCTAGGTGTGCCTGACTTTTCATCTGTCAAATGGAGATCATATTTGCACTAATTGTCTCATAGCGCTAATGTTATGAGGTTCAAATGAAGGGCGAGGGGGGGGAATGGAAGTGATTTGAAGAATGTGTTAACAGTGTTATGTTATGAAGATTAAAAAAAAACACACACACAAAACGTGGAGGTGCTCAGATACCATACTACTCAGGGTGTGGTGCTCAGACCCAGGGCACTAGACAGAAATGCAGGCTCTCAGCCTCCATCCCTGAATTCACAAACTAGAACCTGCTTTGTATCAAGAGCCCAGGTGGTTAAGATGGAGAAAGATCTACACAGGTGTAAAACATTACTCGTATGGGACAGATGCGGTGATGGGGAGTGGGGAGAACCCCCTTGCTCCACACCTGAGTTCCTCTATCTCACACTATCCCACGGTGGATCAGATGTGTAAACTTTGAGAATTTAGGAAGGTATTTGTGAAATGCTACCGTATTGAGACAATTCCTATTAATAAGCTGACTTCTTACCACAGGACCTCAATTAAAAGATTACAAAAATGTATGTCACTCTTTTTGTAATTGAGCTTCAAATAAAATCATCTCATTGCCTCAGAAATGAAGTGGGCCATTTATCGCAGCCATGTAAAGGATCAGATCCTGCAGAAATTTAAAAGAGGCTACCTATTTCCTATTCTTTTTTTTTTAATGTTTTATTTATTTCTAGGAGAGAGAGAGAGACAGCGTGAGCAGGGGAGGATCAGAGAGAGAGGGAGTCACAGACTCTGAAACAGGCTCCAGGCTCTGAGCTGGCAGTCAGCACAGNAACATTAAAAAAAAAAAGGGAAAGAAATAGATGAGTACACATCTCACATGAAGAAGCTCAATGGGTAAACCAAATGCTAATTTCAGTTAAGGCTAAAAGAGTATTTGATAACATTTAATATCATTTGTTGATGATGGAATAGACACATTCTTTTTTTTAAATATTTTTATTTATTTCTAGGAGAGAGAGAGAGAGACAGCGTGAGCAGGGGAGGGTCAGAGAGAGAGACACACACAGACTCCGAAACAGGCTCCAGGCTCTGAGCTGGCAGTCAGCACAGAGCCCGACGCGGGGCTCGAACCCACGAACCGCGAGATCATGACCTAAGCGAAAGTCGGACATTTAACCGACTAAGCCACCCAGGCGCCCCTCTATTTCCTATTCTTAAAACTAGGGATTATCCAGCTTTCAAGTAACTGTTGGAAAACGTATGTTCCTTTTATCATTTTGAACTAATTAAAATTAGAGTTGGAAGAGGAGGATGGAGAATATTCCCTGAATATTCTGATGCAATATTCTGAGCTCACCATTGGCATGCTCTGACGCCTCTTATGGTCAGGCAAGTTTGGGAAGAACTATAGCAGCGGCCCCTTAACCCCGGTCAGACACCTGAAACCATGGACAGTACTGAACTTTATATAGACCATGTTTTTCATATCACACACCTGTGATAAAGCTTAATTTAGAACTCAAGCACAGTAAGAGATTCATAACAATAATATACCATAATACACGTTATGTGAGTGTAATCTCTCAAAATATTGTCCTGCACTCACCTGTCTTCTTGTGGTGATGTGAGGCGATGAAATGCCTACGTGATGAGTTGACGAGGAGTGAGTGATGTAGGCTCTGTAACCTAGCGCTAGGCTGCTACTGACCTCCTGACCAGGTCACGGGAGGGTCATCTGCTTCCTGACTGCAGTTGATCATGGGTCACTGAAACTTGGAAAAAGTGAAACTACGGGTAAGGAAGGTACTCTAGATCCTGGCTCGGTTGTTCCCAGTCCTGACTCTCCACCAACACCATCTGGGGAGCTTTAAAGAAAAAGTACAGGTGCCTGATTTAGTTGGTCTAGACTGGAGCCTGGGCCTGGCTGTTGTCAGTCAGCTCCTCCTGTGATTCTGAGCACAGGCACCAATCAGGACCCGGAAGCCTAAGAGGAGGCCCTGAGGACTAGAGGAGAGTTAGCCTCTATTATAGGGCTGACTGACCCAGAATTCATATGCTGGAAATCTGAACTCCCGATACCTCAAATTGTAACCATATTTGGATGTATGGCCTTTAATTAGGTGAATAAGCTATATTAAAGCCATTAGGGCTCGGTCTAATCAAATCTGCCTGGTGTGCTTATTAAGGAGAGGAAATTTGGACACAGTAAGGTACATGCAGAGGAAAGAACAGGTGAAGGCACAGTGAGAAGTGACCATCTGCAAGCCAAGGAGGTATCAGAATGAAACCAAAACTGTGGACACTGACAAGGAACCTGAACTTGGACTTCCTAGCCTCCAGAACTGTGGAAAAATAAATTTTTGTTGTTTATACAAGCCAGTCTGTGGTACTTGGTTATAGCAACCTAGCAGGCCAATACATCCCCTATGTCAAGCCCAAGTTTTTTGCTTTTTGAATTTTTTTTTAAGTTTATTTATTTAAGACAGCGAGAATGGGGGGTGGGGCGGGTAGCAGAGAGAAAGAGGAAGAGAGAGAGAATTCCAGGCAGGCTTTTTGCTGTCAGCACACATGGGGCTTGAACTCATGAAACCATGATATCATGACCTGAGCTAAAGTCAGATGCTTAACTGCCTGAACCACCCAGGCCCAAGCCCAAGTTTTAAAAAGCATCCTCACATCCAAATGCATGTGAAACCTACAGAGTAGATCTTTCTCCTTTGTTTATCCCTCCAGTAGAAACAGGCATTAAATAAGCAATGGAGGTTCATGGAGAGGCATTCAGATATAGGCCCTTCACCTACGGTAGGGAAACAAAAATGCTGCTCTCAGAGGGAGTCCAGATTTCAGTGCAAAAGCCAGAGAAGCACAAAACAGCTTTAAGATGACACTGAGGGGGGAAAATTCACTTCAAACACTATTTTCAATGGGCTGCCTTCACTAACCCCACATATAAGGCTCCCATAGTCCCCTGGGCTTCTCCTTCACAGCACCTGTCAAAATTGCAATTAATTACTGTTCAATAGTAATTAAATTACTGTCTAAATTAATCTGCTAGAAACTAAACACGTGAGGGCAGAGACTGCTCAACATCTTGTTTATAACCACTTGGCACATATTTGTTGAAATGAATTAACAAATAATTAAGTGAATGAAAAAGTGAATCAATGGCTGAGCACTGATTGGATGCTTGTGTTTCAAACGTATGTGAAATGTTTGCAAAATTCAGTTCCAGTTAGATTTCATGGTAGTGATTACTCAAGAGGGGATGTCTCCCCATAGTAATTTGGTAAATTGTACCTTTCTGCTGAATGCTTTGGTTCTAAGTACAGTCACATGCTGTGTGAATCATTTGGCAAATCTGCAAAAGAATGCCATATATTGGGGCGCCTGGCTGGCGCAGTCGGAAGAGCATGCCACTCTTGATCTTGGAGTCATATGTTTGAGCCCTACGTTGGGTGTAGAGATTACTTACATAAATAATTTTTTTTTTTAAATGCAAAGGATGCCTGGATGGCTCAGTTGGTTAAGCATCTGACTCTTGATTTCGGCTCAGGTCATGATCTTGCAGTTCGTGAGATCAAACCGTGAGTTGGGCTCCGCACTGACAGTGCAGAGCCCACTTGGGATTCTTTCTCTCTCTGCTCTTCCCCTGCTCGTGCTCTCTCTTTCTCTCTCAACATAAATACACATTTTTGAAAAAATGTGTATATATATGTGTATATATATATATGCACACATATACATCACACACACACATACATATATTCCACACATCACTGCTGATTTCATGTTTGATTCAAGACTTTGATGGTGGCTCATATATCAACCTCACAAGGGCCAAGTCCCAGTCCATACCCACCCCCACCCCAGTCCAGCCCCAAAGACTTGTACTTGATATACAATAAAGTTTATAGACAAGACCTCTCGTTGTATCTCACCTTTGGGTAGCATGGGATGTTTTTATTCAAAATCATGAACAAATGCAGGTTCCTCAACTCAGAAACTTCACATCTCTGTTTGAGGATCCCATTTTTATTCAGGTTGGACTACTTGTCTCAGCATCAGTTCCAAACTTTTGCCAGGTCTGGGAGGAGAGATTTCTAAAAACCAATAATTCATATGCACATCTCTTGAAGACTAAATATATAATTCCCAGGCCATTGATTCAGGGCCTAGGAATTAAATGTTACAATAAATGTTACAACAGTCTTTGTTTTCAAATCCCAAATATTTTATCTTGGAAAATCAGCAATCCACGTAGAAAAAACCAGCAGGAAATGGCCAAATTTACTTCAGTATTTACACTGTGGTCAGTTTCCACTCCTGGCTAAAGACTTAAATTCCCTCCTGGGAGGCTCCAAAAGGCCCAGGGGTCATGGAAGAAGTTGTTTCATCTTTGTATTTTCATTTGATCGGTGTGTGGCTGTTGCAATAAACATTACGCCTTTGGATGCTCTTCTTGAACTGATCGCCTAAATCGCAGGTCTGGGTTGGACATAGAAAAGAGAAGATAGCACAGATAGGCACACTGCCTCACATCTCCAAGGTTAAGACAAAATTCAAGATCACACAGCTTCTCATGCATCCTGCCTTCTGTTAAGTTTCTTTAATTCTCCCCCAGAACTTAAATCATTTGGATGCCATTAGTAAACACTATCCCAAAAAGATGAATGGGTTTGGTTGGTTGGTTCCTCCCCAGTATACATTCCCCTCTGGCCTCAGCTCCAGGTTTTCTTTGGGAAGCCACCCTTCTCCATTCTCAGTCATGGTCTGTTGGGTTGTACCACCTCTATCTACAGATCTCCGATCTGGCCAATGAAATTGTCACATTTTCATGGCCACAGAAACTGGTTCATGGATGCTCATGTCACCCAGTTGGATCCAATGAAACAAAGTGAGAATTCTGGATGTCTCATTCCCTCCCACTAGACTTGAACCTGAAAAGGTACAAGAGGCTGATAAAAGTGTCTTGCAATTGTTAGGAAGAGCTTATTCAAGAAAGGAGCTAATATGGAAAGAATGGAACAGAAAGAAACCAGGTTCCAGTGATATATTGTGAGTCCCAGCTTCTGGCTACCCCTAAAGCAAGAATTATTCTTGGATTTTTCCTGGAGCCAGTTTGGGTGGGTTCTTTTCATTGAACAAGTAACTGATACATGAGCAGGTCTGACCCTCTACCTTGAGATACATTATTTGGTTATGGTAGGGCTCCTTCAGGGCCAATGCCTTTACTCACCATGAGCAGCATCATGTTCCCTGACATGCAAAGGGCTTGTTTGCTGAAAGAGAAGAAAAGCAGTGGCTTCATCACCGGAAAAGAATACAGACTCGCTCCTGTTGCCTCGTTGGTGGGATTTGTGAGCCCCCACCATTTTAAAATTAAGATATGCAGATGAAGACCAAGACTCAGCCATAGACGCAGCAAAATGGTTTGGTTTGGTCTTTTAGGGACAGTGATTCCATTAATTTATCCATCCATTCACAGACATTTACTGAGCATTGACTATATGCCAGGTAATATCAGGACCTGGGGCTGTCAGGGTACAGTTAGACTCTCTGCCTGCATAGGACTTACAGTCAGGCCTTAGATCCCATATCTACATAGTGCTGACAGTATCAATGTGCACAGATAATGAGCTATCTGGCAGTCTCTTCTGACAAGGTCCTAACTTCTCAAATCAGTGGCATTTGAATTAAGATGGGTTTACAGGTGGAGTGCCTGGGTGGCTCAGTTGGTCGAGCATCTGGCGCTTGACTTTTAGCTCAGGTCATAATCCTGGGGTCATGGGATCAAGTCCCACATCAGACTCCATGCTGAGTGTGGAGCCTGCTTAACATTTTTTTTCTTTCTCTCTCTCTCTGCCCCTCTCCCCCGCTCATGTGCTCTCTCTCTCAAATAATTTTTTTAAAAAAGATTTACTGTTTATTCATATTTTCCAAGACACCAAGGATGCCAGCAAGGGCTCTGGAATTAGAACAGGAATAAAAATGGTAAAATCTTTGTAAGAGCATGATATGGCAATATCTATTAATCATTATGTGCATGCCCTTTGGCAAAAATACATAAAAATAATTAAAACAAAAATATTTCACTGCACACTGTTTTTAGTATTAAAAAAAAAAAACCTGAAAACAACCCAAATGTCCAAATATGTACAAACTGAAACAATGTCCGAAATATACTACTAAGTGATGAGGGACGGGAGTATGATACTGTGTGTATAATAAAGCCCCACTTTTCTAATAAACAAAAACATTAGTAGGTGGATGTATATTCATGAATGCCTAGGGGAAAGATCTGGAAGAATATACACTGAATCATTAACACAGTGGGGTGAGATCTCAGGGCATTTTCCTTCTCGATAGGATATACTTCTGTATGACTGGATTCTAGAAAAGACACATGCAAACTCTGTGAGGGCCTTCACCAGGATAGGTTGAATGAATGAGTATTATTTTTTAAATAAAAAATACAAAAATGTTTAAACATAGAAAGTGAAGACATAGAAAACTATGTCATTCTAGTTTCCTGATGTATTTTTCCCAAGGAGACAAGTCTGTGTCACAAGGATCCCAGGGCGACCTTCACTCTCACCTCTACGTCCCTCCCTTCCACTGTGAACGAGCTGGTGTTTGCTCTCTTCTCCATATCCTGTAGCTTGGTCAACTTTTCTATCAGGAACATTTTATCTTTGCCCTCCTGCCAAGAAGGAAAACAAAAACAAGAACAAAAACATGGAGGTTGGTACGAGCAAATGATGGAAAGAAGGCAGGTAGGGTCCCAGACACAGGTTAGAGACTGCCGCCATGTTTTCTCTTGATGAAAGAGTAGAAACGTTTCACAGCAAAGCCAAATTAACCCATAGCCTTCCTGAATTGTAACATTCTCCTCTAAAGCAATTCTTGCAGGCTGGAGAAGCAGCCTTCTCTATCCTGCAGCTAGAAGAAACTTACATGCCACTGTCTGAAGGCCCAGGACAAATGGGATATAGTAGCCCCTTCTCAGCATACCCTGTCTGGACACCCAGCGATGCCTAGGCTGGCCCTGTCTTCCCACTAAGAATGTCAAAGCTTATAGCTCTGCAGCGAGGAAGAGTAAACATATTTCACTTGGCAAAGTTACCAGTGTTAATGGAGTAGACCCAGATAAATACTTCCCAAATTGGGAAGAGGAACAAAGGAAAGGGGTATGTCTTCCCCAGGAGTGTGACTCACTTCCTCGTGAATCTATTACAGACTAGAGGGTGGTATATCCCACCCGTGTCGAAGTGGGCTAGCAAGCACCACTGATGGTCTGTCCAGTCTAGATCAATCCCATTTCTCATGCGCTTGTTTCTCCTTCACCTTTCAATCACTGATTTTAGCAATTAGTTATTATTATTATTTAGCATCCAACAATTATTGCTGTGGTATTTGCTTCATAATAATTTTCTATTTCCTTCAATCTTTCTATTTTTATTCACCAGAATTCTGCAAAGAAGAGCTGTCCTTGGGAAATGGCATTTTAAACAGCTCTGCTAGGGGCTCCTGGATGGCTCAGTTGGTTAAGCACTTCAGCTCAGGTCATGATCTCACTGTTTGCAGGTTCGAGCCCTGCATCAGGCTCTGTGCTGACAGCTCAGAGCCTGGAGCCTGCTTCACATTCTGTGTCTCCCTCTCTCTCCCTGTCCCTCCCCTGCTTGTCTCCTCTCTCTCTCTCTGTCAAAAGTAAAATAAATATATTTTTTAAAGCGAGTCCACTAGCCATCCTGGATATAGCCAACCTGTTTGTGAATTGATGATCTGTAGCAGCTGTTTCCATATTTTAGTGCCAATTAGAACTATCTGGAGAAGCTGCAAAAATGCAAACTGACAGGATTTATCTAATAGATCTTTACTTGGGGAGGTAAACCTGCATGTAGTTTAAAGTACAAACTTTGGAGTTACCCAGTTCAAATCCCACCATTTGCTAGCCCTATGACTTGGGCAGGTCGCTTCACTCTGTAAACCTTAGAATCCTTAATTTTAAAATAGGGATTAAGAATGCATATGCTCCAGAGTAATAAAAATCAAATCAGAATTTTTGTTCATTATTTAGCACATGCCAGGCATCATGTAAATGCTCAACAAATGTTATCTGTTGCCATTACTGTTTGGAGGAGATCAGGGTAATAGGAATTTGCATATTTAATAAGCATCCAACAGGTTTTTTAAAAAATTTTTAACATTGTATTTATTATTGAGAAACAGAGAGAGACAGAGTATGAGCAGGGGAGGTGCAGAGAGAGGAAGAGACACAGAAGCTGAAGCAGGCTCCAGGCTCTGAGCTGTCAGCACTGAGCCCGACGCGGGGCTTGAACCCACGGGCCATGAGATCATGACCTGAGCTGAAGTTGGACACTTAACCGACTGAGCCACCCAGGCGCCCCTCCAACAGGTTTTGACATAGGTGATTACACCTATTCCCAGCCCCGGATGCTGGGTTCCTTTGGAGACGATGTCCCTGTCTTTGCGGCCCGTCCTCCTGACAAGATTCCCAAGCATGCAGGCCTGCAGTGATGCTTCTGGTTTACCTGGTCCTGCTTCTACAATAGAGGGATTTAGAATCAAATCCCTCCCCTGGTAAGATCTTCATAAGACTTGCCCAAAACATTCAAAGTGCTGCATCAGAAAAATACAGGTGATGCTTCTGGGGACAGGCAGGGGAAGGAGTATAACTAATCCATGCCCTTTCCTCATACCATCTAAAGGACAAACTCAAATTATCTGAAACCCAAAGATTCAAGCAGCTAGAACCCTGAGGAATCTTGGGCACCTGGGTGGCTCAGTTGGTTAAGCACTGAACTCTTTATTTTGGCTCAGGTCATGATCTCACGGTCATGAGATTGAGCCCCAAATCAGGCTCCATCCGCACTGGGCATGGAGGCTGCCTGGGATTCTCTCTCTCCCTCTTCCTCTCTCTGCCCTCTCCTGCTCAGTCACATATGTACTTGCACATGCTCTCTTTCACTCTTTCAAAATAAATAAATAAACATTTAAAAAACAAAAGAACCCTGGGGAATCCTGCTTCTTTCCATGTTCTTAGAAGTCAGTGTTCATGCCACAATTACTTAGGCATTTAGAAGAAAAGAGAAACAGCCCAGTATCAATGAGCATCCCTATTCCCAGACTGTGGTCTCTAAATGCCATCTCACTGGGACTCTGTGAATAAATGACTGACTCACGTTCTGGGACAGGTAATAAACAAGAAGAGCCTGGAACATCTTGTCCTTTCAGAGAGCAGGTAGCTATCAAAGACCTCTGCGGTCATGTCAAAAAAACCTGGGAGCTAATTCAAAAGGAATTCCATGAGCAAAGAATGAGGCTATTTAAGCATAAACAAATTATTATAATTGAAAGATGTCAAAGTATACTTAAATCTGTGACTTCATAATGATAATTTAAAAGTCCTCACTGGCTACATTTGAGGGTTGCTAGGTGTAGTGGGTTGAATAGTGTCTCCCTTGTAAAAATATTTGTCCAAGTTATCGTAACCCCCAGTACCTGAAAATATGGCCTTGTTTGGAATAAGGTCTTTGCAGAAGTAATTAAAGACTGTGGGATGAGATCATTCTGAATGAGGATGAACCCTAAATTCAATGACAAGTCCTTAGAAGAGAAGGAGAAACAGGTACACAGAGAAAAAGAATTTATGAAGATGGAGGCAGGAACAGGAGTTAAGAAGTCCTAATGTGAGAAACAGCCAGGTCAGTCAGTGGCCATCAGAAGAAGCTCGGAGAGGCGTGGAACAGATTCTCAGAGCTCCAAAAGGTACCAACCCTGCTGACACCTTGATTTTGGAGTTTTGGCCTCCAGGACTGTGAGATAACAAATTTCTGTCATTTTAAGCCACCAAGTTTGTGGTTATTTGCTATGGCGGGCCTTAGGAAATAAATACACTAGGGTATTGACTCATCATTTCAAAAACTGGTCAATGAAGGAAAAAAAATCATGCATTTATCTCACCATTCCTTTATAAACTGTACTTCAAGGTAATCAAATAGTTGATGAGCAAAAATTCTTTTTTTTCATAGACGAATTCTAGCTAATAAATGCAGAAGAAATTATAGGATTAGAATACCACTGTTTAGTCACCTCTAATGAAATCAGTGGGTCTTCTAGGCAGTACTCATCAAAGGCTGCAAAGTCCATCAGATGAAAGGAGGATGGGGAGGCTTCTGATGGATGGGGTCAGGCTAACAAAGCATGAGCCCGCTGATCACTTTTCACATCACTCAAAAAAAGACACCTAGACACTTTATGTCTCAAGGCAATGCTGTAAGAAGTGCATAGTGTCATCTATGAAATGTTCTGGCTAAAACACTGAATTGTATTTAATTGGGTTTTTAAATCTCATCACCAGGGTACAGGAAATAAAAGAAAAAGAACATACTAAACACCATCACAAGGTTGCAAATCAAATAAATCCAGAACGTGAGAACTATTACAAGACAAATGACCTGGTTTCTTCAACAATAAATGGCAAAAGAAGAAGGGAGGGGTGAACAATTATAGATGAAAGGAAACAAGAGACATCGACCAAATGCAACACGTGGCACTTTCTCAGACCCTGATTTGAACAACCCAACTATAAAAAGATACTTCATGAGGCAGTTGGGGAAAATTCACCTTTGATTGGGTGTGAGATAACAGTAAGGAATTATCAACTTTTCTTTTAGGCATGATGATGGTATTATGGTTATGGTTTTTAAAAATCTCTATTTCTCAGGCACATAGAAGTTTTTACAAATAAAATGATATAAAGTCTAGGATTTGCTTTAAAATAATCCAGATATTTGCAGTGATGGGTTAGTATAGATAAAATAAGAATATACAAAAAATTCTTAAGCTTGTTTATTTATTTTTGAGAAAGAGAGAGAGAGAGAGAGAATGTGCTTCTGAGCTGTGCTTTGAGGACTTAGCAATGGCCAACACCATCAGAGCCAGGCTTCTAAAGAGGGACCGACAGTATAGGGGCAGAGAGAGAGGGAGAGAGAGAATCCCAAGCAGGCTCTGTGCTGTCAGCTCCAAGCCCAACTAGGGGCTCGATCTCTCAAACTGAGATCATGACCTGAACTGAAACCAAGTCAGACTCTCAACCGACCGAGCCACCCAGGTGCCCCCAAGAGTATACAAATGTTGATGGTAGTTGGTGCTGGGTGGTGGGCAGGTGTAAGTTCATTGTACTATTCTATTTGGGAGTATATCTGCAAGTGTGCATTTTAAATTGTTTTCAGAAAAGTGGGAGTAGGGGCGCCTGGGTGGCTCAGTCGGTTAAGCGTCCGACTTTGGCTCAGGTCATGATCTCAAGATTCATGGGTTCGAGCCCCACGTGGGGCTCTGTGCTGACAGCCAGCTCGGAGCCTGGAGCCTGCTTCAGATTCTGTGTCTCCTTCTCTCCCTGAACCTCCCCTGCTCACGCTGTCTCTCTCTCAGAAATAAATAAAACATTAAAAATTAAAAAAAAAAAAAGAAAGAAAAAAGAAAAGTGGGAGGAGAGTAACAGGTGCTAACAGGACTCACATTGATAATCTGTTCATGGAGCAATCGGATCATAACCTTCCTTCCCTCTGTGATCTGCCAGTAAAGGTAGGTGATGATTCTGGAAGAGAAGAAAAGAAAAAATGACAAACACTTTTGCCGATATTTTGTAGGCCCCAAATTCCAACTGGTCTGAAAGGAACTGAGATATTCTCTTGCAAGTGGATTTTCTCCCAATAGTTTTCCTGAAAACTTGTGTCTGGATGAATCACAGGCTCAATACATCTGAGTAACCTGGCAGCACGTGACATCACGTGAAAGAAGGAAGAAAGACTCATTTCATGGCCTCTCCTCAGATTAACTGAGCACCTCTGGGCATGGAGCCAGACAACAGTATTTTTTTTTTTTATGTTTATTTATTTTGAGAGAGAGAGAGCTTGGGGGAGGGGCAGAGAGAGAGAGAGGCAGAGAGAGAATCTCGACCAGGCTCTGAGCTGTCAGCGCAGAGCCCATCGTAGGGCTCTAACCCACAAACCATGAGATCATGACCTGAGCCAACATCAAGAGTCAGATGCTCAACCGACTAAGCCACTCAAGTGTCCCAACAGTATTTTTTAAAAGTATACATGATTCTCATGTGCAGCCAGAGTTTGTGAATCTGGACAGTGCCATTCAAACTGCAATTTGATATAAATTTCCTGGGAGTCTGTCAACATGCAGGTTCTGGGATTCTGTAGGTCTGGGGTAGGGCCTGAGATTCCGAGTTGCCAACAAACTCCCCAGTGAATTAGAAGTTTGATGGAACAAGGCACCAGGTGAGCTCAGCATTTTAAATAGGCCAGTGACAACCCAGCATAGGGAAGGGAGGGCACGGCCGGGAGCGAGGAGACCCAGGTTCCAGCCCCTCTGTCACTCACAGGCTGTGCAGCCTGGAGCCTGTCTGTGCAAGTCAGCCCATCTCTGTCTCACCACTTCCATCTGTAAAACCGAAAAGTTGCTCCATAAGCAATATCAACTGATTCCACTAGTGTGTGCTTCTGAGCTGTGTTCTCTCTGTGAGAACTTAGCAATCGCCAATGCCACCAGGGCCAGGCTTCTAGAGAGGGCCTGACATTCGTCAATGAACTATTCATGCAGGAAAAGGAACCCAGGCCGAGCAGATCTCTTTTTTCACAAGAAGTCACAAATTGATTGTTTTGTTTTAATTTTTTTCTTTTTTTAATGTTTATTTATTTTGAGAGAGAACATGAGAGCAGAGAAGGGGCAGAGAGAGAGGAAGAGAGAATCCCAAGCAGGCTCTACACTGTCAGCGCCGAGCCCAACGCGAGTCCCATCCCACAACCCTGGGATCATGACATGAGCTGAAATCAGAAGCCAGAGCTGAAATCAGAAGCCAGACATTAAAACGACTGAGCCACCCGGGCGCCCCTAGTTTTTCTCTCTTTTAATATGGAGCACTCCATTGGTGGTATAATCAAGTCCAGACTTGTTTTCAAAAATTAAATTCCAGGAACAGATGATGATTAAGAAGCATTCAAGTATTACCAAATATAAATGTAAAATAAAACTTTGTTGTAATATAACTATATCACAGACTTCTAAATCAATCTCCCATGTATTTAAGTTTACAAAATAAATTCTCATAGGAATACAGAATGAGGGGTGCCTGGGTGGCTCAGTTAATTAAGCGTCCGACTTCAGCTCAGGTCATGATCTCGCAGTTCATGGGTTTGAGCCCTGCTTCGGGCTCTGTGCTGACAGCTAGCTCGGAGCCTGGAGCCTGCTTCAGATTTTGTGTCTCCCTCTCTCTCTGACCCTCCCCTGCTATCTCTCTCTCTCACACACAAATAAATAAAAACATTTAAAAAATTTTTTTAAAAAGGAATACAGAATGAATATGACATAAATTCTCATATGGAATATACTCACTTCCAGAAACTACATCAGTTAAATTGGATAAAAAAGGCTTGGAATCAAAAACTTCATAAAAGGAAAAAAAGATGAGCCCAGTGGGTTAATATGTAACTCAAAGTATCTTTTTAAAATAGGATGATTTTAGGGGCACCTGGATGGCTCAGTCAGTTAAGCGTCTGACTTCAGCTCAGGTCATGATCTCATGGTTCATGGGCTCAAGCCCCGCATCAGGCTCTGTGCTGACAGCTAGCTCAGACCCTGGAGCCTATTTCAGATTCTGTGTCTCCCTCTCTCTCTGACCCTCTCCTGCTCACACTGTCTCTCTCTCTCAGAAATAAATAAAACATTTTTTAAAAATTTTAAAAATAAAAATAAAATAATATAGGATGATTTAGGGGCACCTGGGTGGCTCAGTCAGTCAAGCCTCTGACTCTTGATGTCAGCTCACATCTTGATCTCAGGATCTTAAGTTCAAGCCCCGTGTTGGGCATGGAGACTACTATACCCCATCTTTAAGTTTCAAAATGTAATCCTTTGCAGTGATGGTAATAACCACTGTTTCTGAACCCGGTGTTGTCCATGGTACATGGATCGTCAACTCATGATTATGTCCACCTAGAAAAGTCAGTGGTAGGGGGCCTAGATGGCTCATTTGGTTAAGCATCCAACTTCAGCTCGGGTCATGATCTTGCAACTCCTGAGTTTGAGCCCCCTGATGGGCTCTGTGCTGACAACCTGGAGCCTGCTTCTGATCTGTGTCTTCCTCTCTCTGCCCCTCCCCCACCATACTCTCTCCCTCAAAAATAAACATTTTAAAAAAAGAAAAAAAAGAAAAGTGAATGGTAATTTCCATTCCTGTTGCAGTATACCCAGCACATCCAACTTGAAGCTGAGCTTACCAAGAACCACATTTCCACCCCATTGTGAAACCTGTAGATCTGAATGCTTTAAATTCTTTTTTTTTTTTTAATTTTTTTTTTAATGTTTTTATTTATTTTTAGGAGAGAGAGAGAGAGACAGACAGCATGAGCAGGGGAGGGTCAGAGAGAGAGGGAGTCACAGACTCTGAAAGAGGCTCCAGGCTCTGAGCTGGCAGTCAGCACCGAGCCCGACGCGGGGCTCGAACCCACGAACCGCGAGATCATGACCTGAGTGAAAGCCGGACGCTTAACCGACTAAGCCACCCGGGCGCCCCTGAATGCTTTAAATTCTTGATGTAGCAATTCACATAGCTCATTAAAATTAGAGTCACATATATGACTCCGGCATCTTTTAAGGTGTAGAGGAGTAAAAGACAGAAAGCCAAAGAGTACCATGGAGTCCCCTCCTGATATCTGGCACCCACCCCTGGTAGTGGCAAGACCAGAAATCAATTGTTTTTATTTGAAAATGGAAGACTGCTATCCTGCATATGAACAATGCCCGACCCATTTGAACATAATGACAATCTCAGAAAGAATCACACACATAATTTTCCTAAGCATTCTCAAATCCAAATTTTCATTTTGTTTTCATGTTGTTTCTTAACAGGGGACACAGCAGGTATTGCTTTCTTCGTAAAACAGGCAAAAAAAAAAAAAACCCTCACAAAAAACAAAAACAAAAAAACCTGAGACAAGATGATAGTGAGTGACTTTTTTAAAAATTCAAGGGCAAAGTCAGGAGCATCCAGGCCACTGAGCCACACCGTAGCCCTTTGTTTTCCTGGCAAGCAGTCCCCAGACTATCCTCACAGCCTGTTAACGACATGTTCTCCCCCACCAGTTTCCCAAAGCGCTCCACTTACAACACAATGAGTGTGAGGATGAAAAAGAAGTGCACGCTCCCGATGAGGTTCCGGTAGATCCAAACAACCCACAGGTAGCTGGGCCTTTTACTCAGGATATCAATCCAACTGTAGATGGAGTGAATGAAGAAGGGCAGACCTCGAAACGGGCCACAATCAGCTGAAGGTTTCAATCTGGTAAAACGAGGGACAGAAAAACATCCGTAGCACAAATCTCAGGTATAGCTTGTTCTAGAATCAGACCGTCCTTTCTGGAGTCTGGACCCGAAACCAGCAATGTCTGCCTGCTGTACTCTTACCCTCCCTCCCAAGGAAGCCCTCTCCCTCACGGCCTCAGCAGGTAGGTTTTGTACATGTGACCGCCACTCCGAGGATCAGCTCCCAGACGGGGTTCTATCACCTGAGCTAATGGGAGCCAATCCAAAGGGCGGCAGTAAACTCTGTGGTATCCCAGCTTGAAGAAATGAACTGGGTGATCAGATTCTTTTTCTTGGGAACTTGAACTAAGACATGAAGAAGGGACCCTGCAATCTATGGAAGCTGAGGTTGTGGCAATGATGGCCATGTGTAGTCAGATGTTATGAATTAGCAGAAACTAGAGGGGAGCTAGGAACTGATTAGGAAGAGAGAAAAAAGAGAGAAGCAAAAACACCATAAAACAGAGTAGTCAGCCCTGAACCCACTTGAGTTCCTGATGGTTCCACTTCCATCTGCATCCTAAAAATCAACTCCTGGGGTGCCTGAGTCGCTGGTTAAGCGTCCAACTTTGACTCAGGTCATGATGTTATGGTTCATGAGTTCGAGTCCCACATCAGGCTCTGTACTGACAGTCTGCCTGGGATTCTCTCTCTCTCTCTCTCTGCCCTTCCCCCACTTGCTCTCTCTCTATCAAAATAAATAAACTTAAAAAAATCAACTCTTTTTTTCCCCCTTTCTTCCTTTTTTCTTTCTTTCTTCCTTTTTCCTTCCTTCCTTCCTTCCTTCCTTCCTTCCTTCCTTCCTTCCTTCCTTCCTTCCTTCCTTTCTTTCTTTCTTTCTTTCTTTCTTTCTTTCTNTTTTTCCTTCCTTCCTTCCTTCCTTCCTTCCTTCCTTCCTTCCTTCCTTCCTTCCTTCCTTCCTTTCTTTCTTTCTTTCTTTCTTTCTTTCTTTCTTTCTTTCTTTCCTTTCTTTCTTCCTATAAAAGTTTATTTCACCTGTTCTAGGTGCTATGCTAGATACTAAACCCTGGGGATTCCATAGCAAACAAGACAGACATGGTCTCTGTCCTCCTGGGTTTATATTTTAGTAAGAAAAATGGACAACTAATGAGCTAATAATTAATGCCTTCAAGTGAAGGCATTTCTGACTGTGAACAATGGAATGAAGAAAAGAAACTGCCCCGAGACAGACAAGTGGAAAAGACAGTAGGCAAGCATGGTCATGAAGGTTAGATCTTGAGGATGACTTCTGAGCTGAGATTCAGAGCAGAGGACAGAAGGCCACCAGGCAGAGGGAGTGGGGACATACATACAGGACTCCGCCTTGTGTTGGGAGAGGCTCACAGGGTGCCAGGAACGGAGCAAGAGTCATGAGGATGAAGGAAGATAGAGCCAAAGAGGGGTGAGGTTGGAGAGCTAGAAGGGAACCAGCCCAGACATGTCATTGTGGTTCATTTAGTGGAAGTTCAATCCCCATGCTGGGAGACTGCTAGCCTCCAGGAAGTGAGGAAATCCTAGCATCACCTGATGGGTGGTGACCAAACCGAAACATGTTCCCTGCTTGGGTTGTTGTGTCTGCTGGTTACCAAGGAGACTTGGGGTAAATACTGCACTAAGCATGTCTTCTTACTCTGATGTTTGACATCTGGGACCTTACAGACCCTGGACAGAGGGCCCCTCCCAGGAGCTACCCTACTTAGTATGTCTTTCACATGCAAACCAACCAATCCAGAGCCCACATCCCACCTACCACCTCCTCCATCAGGCTTTCACACTCAGGATCAGTCTCCCCCTGCCCTGCCCCCCACAGGGCCAGGTAACCAGATAAATCCAGACAGCCCCTATATAGCTCAAACCCACTGAAATTGTTCAAACAAGCCAATCGTAAACCTGCCTATCCTCTCACCCTTTCCTTCCCAGGAAAACCACAATAAAGGCTCTTGCCCACATTTTCTCCTTACTCTCTCTGTGTCCTGACCAATCCTGGAATTTCCTCATGTGGCTCCCTATGGTGTGCATCCCCACTCCCACCCCCACTTCTACTGGGATCTGAGTATATAACAAACCATCGTTCCAATGAGATTCATCTCCTGATCTGTTGGCCTCACCAAGCCTTAATAATAATAAAACCTATAGGGGGGACTGGGTGGCTCCATCAGTTAAGCGTTCGACTTTGGCTCAGGTCATGATCTCATGGTTTGTGAGTTCAAGCCCCACATCAGGCTCTCTGCTGACAGCTCAGAGCCTGGAGCCGGTTTCAGATTTTGTGTCCCCCTCTCTCTTTGCCCCTCCCCTGTTTGTGCTGTCTCTCTCTCAAAAATAAATAAACATTAAAAAAATAAATAAAAATAAATAAAAAAAAAAACCCTACATTTTATTTATTTACTTTAAAGTAGGCTATACACCCAACGTGGGGCTTGAACTCATAACCCTGAGATCAAGAGTCTGATGCTCTACCGACTTAACCACCCAGGAGTCGCAAAACCTACACTTTAAAACACTCACCCACCACATCTCTAAGACCTTACCACAAAGCCGCAGTTTCCTACCTCCAGATGGTGATGGACAGGGTGCACAGGACCCCAGTGAAGGATGGGAAAAAGAGCAAGAAGATGAAGAAGGTCATCATCTGTGAGGCTCGCCAGGCTTTGCTTGGAGGCTGGAAATTCATCATCAGGCTGATCTGAAAAGAGAGAAGCAGCCAGCTCCCATCTGTGGCCAGAGGGGCAGGCTGGAGGGACCCCAGCCAGGCACTGGCTTCCTGATAACCTTTCCCGGGACCACTCCCCACCAGCCCCCACTCAGTTCCAACCGCCACTGGGCCACATAAGACTGAGAGAAGCTAACTAGCTCCACCTTCAGGCTGACTCACGTTTTTGACGTAAAACATGATGAAAAGAGTAATCATTTGGATAAAGGGCAGCAGAGGGCAGAAGAAGGTTCCAATCCTATGAGGGAGAAAGGATGAGTGTCAAAAGTCACAGGAGACATGAAGAATGAGAGTTGGGGGTGGGGGGGATGAGGGCAGGTATGGGTGTGGTGGGAAGGGAAAGAGAGTGTTCCGGGCTGAACTGTGCTTCTCCAGAATGCATATGTTGAAATACTAACCCCCTAGTACCTTGGAATGTGACTATTTAGAGAAGGCGCCTTTAAAGAGGTAATTAAGGTAAAAGAAGGTCCCTAGGGTGGAACCTAATGCAATCTAACTGGTATCCTTAAAAGAAGAGATTAGACAGGTACACACAGAGGGACCATGTGAAGAGGCTGGAGAAGGTGCCATCCCACAGGCCGAGGACAGAGGTCTGGAAGAAACCAACTACGAACACCTTGATCTTGGACCTGTAGTCTCCATAACTGTGAGAAAATAAACTTCTTCATCTAAGCCACCCAGTCTGTGGCGTTTGTCAGGGCATCCCTAGCACTAATTCAGAGGGAGCCGTGCTCTCTCACTGCCGACCGGGAACTTCCCACCACACCCGGCATCCTCAGCAGCTCCCTTCCCAGCTTTGGAAAAGACATTTTGCAGAAAGCACCACCCACACACCACCAAATGGCCTTCAGCAAGCCCTAACCTAGGTGTCCAGATGTGGGATATGTCCCCTCCTTCCTACACGGCATTCAGGAAGGTCTGAGGTCCTGCGAGGACAGGCATTAAACTGCACTGAGTTAGAAATGGGAAGGGCATTCCCTCTCAATCTTCCCCAATGCTGCTGAGTGTTGAGAGAAGAAAATCTCACTTTGGTGGCCCTAATACTTGCCAACCTCCCTTTTTCCCAAAAGAAAGGTGGGAGGGGGGCAGTAAGCTTTAAACTGAGAGCCTTGGCAGACAGGAGCATCCAGTTAGAATTTAATGACTGTTGGTGATTGGCTTGGTTTTATTTTATTTTATTTTTTATTTTTCTAATTTTTTTAAGTTTATTTATTTATTTTGAGAGACACAGAGACAGCGTGAGTGGGGGAGGGACAGAGAGAGACAGGGAAAGAGAGAGAATCCCAAGCAGGCTCCAGAGATGCTATGAGCCAAAAGCCCAACTTGGGGGTCAGAACCACAGAACAGTGAGATCATGACCTGAGCTGAAACCAAGAGTCACGGGCTCAACCCACTGAGCCAACCAGATACCCCTTATTGTATTTTTTTAAAGTGACCAACATTTTTCTTGAAGTAATCTCTACACCCAAGATGGGGCTCAAAATCACGACTCCAAGATTAAGAGAGATCAAGAGTCAGATGCTCTACCAACTGAGCCAGCCAGGTGCCCCAGTTTTGTTTTATTTTTTAAGTTACTTGCCGTTTCTCTCCAATGATGCTGATTATCCATTTCTGGTTGTAAATTAAAGAGTCCTTTAAAAAAATATTTTTTTTTTTAGCGTTTATTTTTGAGAGAGAGAGGAACAGCATGAACAGGGGAGGGGCAGAGAAAGAAGGAGACACAGAATCTGAAGCAGGCTCCAAGCTCTGAGCTGTCAGCACAGAGCCTGATGCGGAGCTCCAGTTCGGGAATGGCGAGATCATGACCTGAGCCGAAGTCAGATGCTTTACCAACTGAGCAACCAGGCGCCTCAAAGAGTCCTTTAAAAATGTATGTAGGGAAAAAAAAAAAAAAATGTATGTAGGGACACCTGGCTGGCTCAGACAGTTAAGTGTCTGACTCTCAGTTTCAGCTCAGGTCATGATCGCAAGGTTTATGGGTTTGAGTCCCACACTGGGCTCCATGCTGACAGCATAGAGCCTGCTTGGGATTCTCTCTCTCTCTCTCTCTCTCTCTCTTCTCATCTCTACATTTCTCTCTCAAAAATAAACATTAAAATAAATAAATAAATAAAAATGTATTTAAGTTAAAAAAAAAAAGAGGCAAACTATATAAAAGATAATATTAAGTAAAAACTAGTACAATTGATATGTAGATAAGCCAAAAAACAGGTAGGCTAGTGTGCAAAAGGCTCAAGTTTGGAAAACACTTACCTCAACTCATCTTTACCATTGTCCCTAACATACACTCCCTTCCTGTCACTCTGTTATCTTCTCTTAAAGCTCATCATCAAAGGCAATATTCTCCTAAAACCCACAAGGGAATTAAATCTATAATTTCCATGGAGAAAGGAAAAGATACAGGTCTTTTCAATCGTGCTTATTTACAATTTATTAACACAAACCGTAAAGGCCCAGAAGTAATAATGGCCCTATCTGATTGTAACTTTTCCCCCTGCTAACATTTCCCTTTGGAACCTTCATCAATGGTCAACAATGAGGGCTTGGTTTCTAGGGCTCAGAAACCTGGCCAAGGTAAGCACTCAATAAATGGAGCCGTATTGTTATTACATCAGCTGATTTCTGCACATCATTTATTAAAAAACAAAAAACTTAAGAGTGCTCATAAGTATGATTCAGCAATTCGACTCCTGGGTATATGTCCAAAAGAACTGAGGGGGCACCCGGGCGGCTTAATTGGTTAAGCGTCTGACTTTGGCTCGGGTCATGATCTCGTGGTTTACAAGTTTGAGCCCCACATCGGGTTTGGATTCTGTGTCTCCCCTTCTCTCTACCCTGCTCCCACTAGCACTCTGCCTCTGTTTCCCTCTCTAAAAAATAAACATGAAAAAAAAAAAAGAATTGAAAGCAGGGTCTCAGAGAGATATTTGCACACCCAGAATCATAGCAGCATGATTCACAATAAGCGACAGGGAGAAGCAACCCAAATGTCCACCCATGGGTGAATGGATAACCATGTAGTATATCCATACAGTAGAATATTATTCAACCTTAAAAAGGAAGGAATTGCTGATAAATGCTACAATACATTTGAACCTGAAGAACATTATGCTAAGTGAAATAAGCCAGTCACAAAAAGACAAATTCTGTATGATTCCACTTACATAAAGTATCTAGAGCAGTCAAACTCCTAAACACAGAAAATAGAATGCTGGTTGCCTGGGACTGGAAGAGGGTAAAATGGGAAGTTCTTGTTTAATGGGTATGGAGTTTCAGTTTTGCAAGATGAAAAGAGTTCTGGAGATCTGTGGCACAGCTATGTGAACATATTCAACACTATTGAACTGTACATTTAGAAATGGTTAAGATGATAAATACAATATTAGACTTGCTCCTACCACAATTAAAAAAATTTTTTTTAATGTTTATTTATTTTTGAGACAGAGAGAGAGACAGAGTGTGAGCAGGTGAGGAGCAGAGAGAGAGGGAGACACAGAATTGGAAGCAGGCTCCAGGCTCTGAGCTGTCAGCACAGAGCCTGACGCAGGGCTTGAACTCATGAACCATGAGAACATGACCTGAGCTGAAGTCAGACACCCAACCGACTGAGCCACCCAGGCGCCCCCTCTTCCTACTACAGTTTTTAAAAGGTGCTCGTAAGGGTAACAAACAGCCACAATATCCCCACTTATAAAATATTTCTGAGTCAGTCTGAAGATTCTCAAAACTTACCACACCAGAGTTTGTGCATAGATCAGTTCTAGGACATTCCTGGCGATGTCAAACTCCTGTAAACCAAGGCTCGTTGGAAACTGCATTCCAATGAGTCTGTGAAAACATCACTAAGTTTAGTACCCAAGCCATCAACCTTCTCCTTCAAAATATTCCCCATAATCAACAAAATAGAGCATCATCAGTTTGGAATAAAGTCATAAGTTCTTGCAAAGTTTTGAAAAGTTCCAAGTATAAGTGTATTTTTGAAGAAAGAATTGAAGGAATTGAGGGAAAACTAACACAATACATTCAAATAGAGATGCTGAAGTGGTTTTAAAATATTTCAGGGGTGCCCAGGAGCCTCAGTTTGTTGAGCATTCAACTCTTGATTTCAGCTTAAGTGGTGATCTCACAGTTCGTGAGTAAGAGTCTGGTGTTGGGGTCTGTGCTGACAGTGCGGAGCCTGCTTGGGATTCTCTCTCTCCCTCTCTCCCTGCCCCTTCCCCACTTGCACATGTGCTCTCTCTCTCTTTCTCAAAATAAAGATTTTTAAAAAAATTCTAGGGGCGCCTGGGTAGCTCAGTCAGTTAAGCGTCTGACTTCAGCTCAGGTCATGATCTCACGGTTCATGGGTTTGAGTCCCACGTCGGGCCCTGGGCTGACAGCTCAGAGCCTGGAGCCTATTTCAGATTCTGTGTCTCCCTCTCTCTCTAACCCTCCCCTGCTCACGCTGTCTCTCTCTCTCAGAAATAAATAAAACATAAAAGAAATTTTTTTAAATTCTAGAGACCAGTATTTAAGTTATCCCCCATATTATTTAAATAGACAGTGAATTATAAGTTAACAATAGACATTATTTGAGACCATTATTAATATTATCCTACCTATTCTCATTCTTTGCTTGTTAATCCTTTTTTTCAGGGACAAGGTAACTTAGCACCTCCAAACCCCAATAAACTGAAAATTTTTCCATGTTTGGTTACTGCTATCGGATTAATAGTGTTTCCCTAATTTCTAAATCCATATGAGGAAACCAAGATCTCCATTTATCCCGAGGAAACTCGGGGCCACTTTGAATTCTTCATACAGAGAGGATGCTAATAAAAAAATGCCATCAAAAACACAAAAACAAAACAAAAAACCTCCTAACCTTTACGTCTGGATCTTGGACAGAGGCTGTAATAAAAGTGAGTTTGGGCAGAATGAGTGTGGAAATGGGGCACACAACCTACCCACTGAGGAAAGGACCATTATTGTGTTATGCCATCTTAACACCGGGGCAGCTCACAGAAATATGTACGTGTCTGTAAGGAATGAGATGCTCATCATATTATTAACAAATAAGTGAATAAATCAATAGAAGAGGACTATATATGGGCCAATGATAACACTGCCTCAATTCTGTATACCTCGTGTCTAAAATAACAATTAGCACATGAATCAAATTCAATTAAATGGCTCATGAGATAAATCTATAGGTACCATCCTGGAAAGATGCCATAGAATCGTGGTAAGATTAATAAGAACGAATTCCACAATGATTTTCAACGTGACCCAATTTTTATCTTTGAAATTATATAATACAGTCCCACACACAAAGCAGTATGTGCACAGAAACATCTGGAACAATATACACTAGAATTAAAATGATCTATGGTGGAAAGCTCTCAAAGACTTTCACTTTCTGGGTTTCACATCCAGTAATTTCTTTTTTCTCAAGAGAAGTTTGTAAAGGGTTAGCTGAACCGAATGAACTTGGAAACAGGACTATCAGAACTAAGTGAAATTTTGGTTAATTCAGAAGAAGAAAGCAACCTCCCAAGAGCAACAGGCAGACTTGTAACAGTGCATACTTTAAGTATATAAGGGACGCTTATATACTAACTATATTAAGTATAAAGGATACCCATACTTCCTGCCCAGCCAAGACTCTGGCTCTGGTTCCAACATCAGGTACTAATGACTCAAGGCTGATAAATATTTACCTCCTCAGGAATTCCCCCAGGAAGGAATCAGCTAAAGAGAACACAAAATCCATCAGAAGGAGTCGGTAGATTTCCTGGCCAATGAGAGTTTCCCAACACTGGAAGGTAAACAAGAATCAGGATGTGGGAAGAAGCTGTTGCGTCTGCTCAGTGGCCATCTGTTCCTGGCACCCTGCACTCATTAGGACATGGTTGGTGGCCAGTTTGACTGTGTCCTTGTACGTCCAGAAAAGCAGGGCCCACTCTGGGCAGAAACGCACCATTAGTTTGTTGATTTTGTTTTCAAGGGTGTTTATTCCCTTTCTGTGATGTCTTCCCCCATTAAGGCTTGACCTTCACATGTACCCCAAACTTTCCCTTCTCACTATCTCTCATCTTAAAACTTTTCATTCCCATCCTATGCCTTCTAGATCCCATTTATCAGCCAGGGTTAGCAGAAGGCATCCATGCCTTCACTCTTGGCTTATTAACCTTATGAAAACCCATTAATATCTGCTTGACTAAGAAAGTGGGCTACAGGTTTAGCAGGCTGGCATAAACTGGAAGGCTGAATTAGTCAGTTCATGAAACTGGTGTCAATTACCTCCGCAGAAAGTCAGTGCAATGAGCTGATGGACTTTTAGCTTTTAGATTTGGTTGAACAAGGAGAGTGATGGTTTGAGTACACAGCTCAAGGATGGATGGATGGATGGATGGGCAGGATGAGTGGATGGATGGATGGATGGACGGATGGATGGATGGGCGGGCAGGATGAGTGGACGAATGGGATGGATGGATGGGCAGGATGAGTGGATGGATGGATAGATGGATAGATGGATAGATGGATGGATGGATGGATGGATGGATGGATGGATGGATGGAAGGAAGGAAGGAAGGAAGGAAGGAAGGAAGGAAGGAAGGAAGGAAGGAATGAAGGAAGGAAGAATAACAAGATTTCCACTCTAAGATCATGAGTAGAAACTCTGAAAAACAGAAACTCACTTCCTCCCTGGTATTCAAAGGTTAAGAAACTAACTCAAGGCAAAACAGCTCAGAAATCTCACCTCTTCACCAGCCTGGGCCACAACGTTGAGCCAATAGTAGCAAAGAATTCCAATGATTGATATTTTCAGAAAGATGTTTCTAAATAACAGAAGAGAAAACAACTATCATTATCTTCCATGACAGACATTAGACTGTTTGCTAATAATTCCTTTTAGTCACATGGTAGGACTAAAATTTCTGCTCCTGTGTGGTTTGACTGGGGCCATTATGGCTAGTTCTGGCTAGCGATTTGTTAGCAGAACTGATGTGTGTCACTCAAGGCTGGGGCACTGAAATGCCAGTGAGACTCCCTGGAACTCACTGTTTTCCCTCTGGAATGGCCATCAGAAACATTGGAGATGGTTGCAGCTCTCAGCCTGGATCCCTGCACGAATGACATGACTGAAACCACCTGCCAGCCACCATGGACACACAGTATGAGCAAGAACGAAATCTTTGTGTTCCAAGCCACTGAGATTAGGGTGATAGGGGATGTTTGTTACTGCAGCATAACCTAACTGATATTTCAACTGGTATACCCTCTTTCAGTGCATCTCCAAACTATCCAATTTCACTTCTCATTGTAATAATAGTAAATGTACAAACTTTTGATTGGGTGCTGACCTGGACACTACACTGTGCTAAGAATTTCACTGAATCACCTTAATCTTTACACTTTGCCATTCTTAATCTCTACAATTCTGTCATCAGGTAGATAGTATTTTTATGTCTATCTTATTGATGAGGAAACTGAAGCTCAGAAATGAAACAACTTGTCCAAGGGCACACTTGTGAGGGGCATGACAAAGACAGAAACTGAGGACCATCTCTTAAACCTGGTCACTTTGCCAAAGTCAGTACCTGCTGGTTTTAATAGGGCTTCAGCTCTGGTGCATCACAAACTGTGTGCCACTAGACCAGGGGTTCTCAAAGTGTGTCCTCCAAGCCAGCAACATCAGCCTCGTCTGTAAACTTGCTAGAAAGATAACATTTCAGGCCTCACCCTAGACCTACTGAATCAGAAACCCTGGGGACAGGATCAAGAAACCCCTTCAGATAATTCTGATGTATGCTGAAGGTTGAGAACCATTGTGTTAGACTCTGAAGTTCCACAGGGGAAGGAGACGAGATCTGTCTTTTTTAGTGCCAGATGCTCAATCTCTTGCCCAGTGCCCAGCCTGCAGTAGACCCTCACTGTCTACTGGATGAACGTGTTAGTAGACCTTTATTGCAGCGTAGCTCTGGGTTAAACTTGAAAACACACTCTTCTAAGCTGAAAAATATCTCATCTCAGATAGAAAAGAACTGTGTATTTCTGAGATTTCCCATTTTCTCCTCATGCAGACAAGATTTTGAATATTTTGTTGAAGCAGTACAAAGGGTTGATGTATATTAAAAGACAGTTAACCTCTTTAGTGATCAGAAAAATACAGAGAGCAAAGTGATTGGTTCAGAATGGCCCACCCAGCATACATGGCTAACTATCTCTCCATCCAAATTCTCCAAATGAGGTTGGACAGCTGGCCAGGAGGCAGATCTCTGAGGCCATGAAGGCAAGGGCTCTGGCACTGATCAGTAAAGAAACTCAGTCTGCATTGCACAGATCTGTTGTCATAAACACCACCATAACCAGGAACTGGCCAGGGAACTAGCCAGGAAGGAGCAAGAAGGACAAAATTTGGGTCATTTTATGCTTTATTGAAACCTTGGGGTCACCTCTAGCACAAAAAGTTACCCTCTCCCAGTCAACGAATTGCCAAAAGCACTCCCTCTTCCTCTATGTGTGTGTCTGAATGACAAAGATGCACCTTTTGGGGCACGTGGGTGGCTCAGTCGGTTAAGCGTCTAACTTCAGCTCAGGTCATGATCTTGCAGTTCACGAGTTCAAGCCCTGTGTCAGGTTCTGTGCTGACAGCTCAGAGCCTGGAGCCTGCTTCCTATTCTGTGTGTCTCTCTCTCCCTCTGCCCCTCCCCACTGGTGCTCTGTCTTTGTCTCTCTCTCAAAAATAAATAAACATTAAAAAAAAATTTTTTTTAATGTACCTCTTTCTCCCAGCTGAGGCAATGGCTAACAAGGCTCACAGCTTAACTAATGCAAACACCAGATGAATTCCAGTCCCTACACAACTCACCAGCCAGTCACCCTTCTGCAGTATACAACATGCACATCTGTACATCTCATAACTGAGAAAAACCATGAAAATCCTCAGGCCAATAGCAATTGGGAAAGGTAAGCCATTACTCTGAGCAAAAGGTTATGATGTACTTAATTGTACATCTGAGAGCATTTTGGATTTTATTAACCCACCCCAGACAAACACACTTTATTCTTGAAATCCTTTCTAGAAAACAGAACTTTGGTACTTGAGCTCCCACCTCACTTCCCTCTAGGGAAATGGAGGCAGGTGGTGGGTGTGGCAGACACACCTACCGGATGAGGAGGATGTAGACTTCACGCCTCGGTGTCTCATACCGCTCCACCAGCCTGAACATGGAGTAGAGGCGTGGCACTGCCAGGTTGATGCAGGACACAAGGAAAGGCAGTAACAGCACAGCTCCAGGGTTCTGGTGGTTCTTCAGGAACTGCAAGGGATGCAGGGAGAGAATCGAGATGCCAAGTGTGCTCAGAACTCCTCTCTGCCTCACGCAGAAGACCCCCCATGATGGGGAATCCCCAGTGGTAGCTCCTCTGGGGTTAACTATTAAGCTACCAGTTATTGAGCACTTAGCCTGTGCCCATTACCCACATGATCGCGTTTAATCCTCGCCACAGCCCAGCAGGTGGGTATTAATAGACTGACTGGCAAATGGAAGAGGCTCGGAGAGGCAAACATGCTTGCCCAGGGCCACCCAGCTAGGAAGTGGCAGATTGGAACCAGGTCCGTCTGATTCAGGGGCCTGAACTCAAAACAGCCATTCTGTGACTGTACTGTCCTTAGCAAGAGGTCTGCGGCAATGAGAATGTACTTCCCGGCTGCTGGAGCAAAAGCTTGAATCTGCTGAAGCTACAGGATAAGGGGATAGAGCCTTTATCCTGTGTGGCCTTGTTCATTTTCACCAGGCTTTCCTTGGGTGCTGAATTCGGGGAAAGGGAGCCTCTAAGAGCCCATGGCACATCTTTGTATGAGGTCCAGAGAAGCACCTCATACTTCATGCAGATGCAACACCCTGGTGTTTGGTGTCGAGTGGGGTGGAGGCCACCCTCTCTCAGGCATCCTTGGAGTGAGGGATTCTGGTGGATTTGTCTTCTGTCTCACACTGCCCCGTCCCTTACTCCTAGGCCTGACCCTGCCTCCCTTTATCTCTGGGTAGTTTCAGAAGCCCCACCTGCACCTTTGTAAGTGTTTTTGTAGCCAGGGTAACGTGGGTTCAAATGTTGTCCCTTCCCCCATGCTTGTAAGCTGTAAGGTCTGAAGCCAGATACATAGCTTCTCTGAGCCTCTTTTCCTGTCTGTGTAATGGGGAGATTCCCATGTAACCCCTAGAGTCATTGCAAGAATTAAATGAGAGGCATCTGGGTGGCTCAGTCGATTAAGCTTCCAACTCTTGATTTTGGTTCAGGTCATGATCTCATGCTTCAGGAGATCAAGATCAAGCTCCGAGTCGGAGTCTGCACTGACAGTGAGGAGACTGCCTGGGATTCTCTCTCCCTTTCTTTCTGCCCATCCCCTGTTCATGTACATGTAAGCACACATTCTCTCTCTGTCTCTCAGTTGATGCCATAAGTAAAAAATTAAATAAATAAAAGAATTGGGGTGCCTGGGTGGCTCAGTCGTTTGAGCATTGGACTTCAGCTCAGGTCATGATCTCGTGTTTGTGAGCTCGAGCCCCACGTTGGGCTCGTTGCTGTCAGCCTGTCAGCACAGAGTCTGCTTCAGATCCTCTGTCCCCTTCTCTCTGCCCCTCCCCTGCTTGTGCTCTCTCATAAATAAACAAACATTAAAATAAATAAATAAATAAATAAATAAAAATAAAAGAATTAAACAAAACCAAATAAGGCCAGGTCTGGTCCCTCAACAACACAGGCGAGACGGCATTCACAGGAGACTACAGTTGCCAATGCATGTGACCCCTAGAGCTGTACAAAGGGTGGCTCCCGCTTGCACAGAGCAGATGTCTAGACAACAGGCTCCACCTCTGCCTCCTCGCCTCCTTAGCTGCCCCCCTTCACTTCACCCTTCCAGATGAAGAACATCTCAGGAGGCTTCTTCACTCCCACAGCTGCTTGGTCAGTTTCCACCCTAGGCAGGCAGTGCCTGGCCCTTAAGCACCGAGACTTAATTTCCCCTCTTTGAGGGCACCCTAATATGCTTAATGGCAAGCCTAGTTTTATGTAATCCCACACCCATTTTCTTGCTGGCTTCTCCTTTACTTTTTCATCCATTTGGTTGTGCACCTACTATGTACCAGATATTGGGCCCGGAGCCTGGCTACTACCTTTTGAAGACACAGATGCATAGACAGGTATTTTCAATATTACACATGACAAGAGCACAGGGAAAGCCTGAAGAGTCAGGAGCGCCCAACACAGTCTAGTGAGGGTGGTGGGGGTGAGAGAAAATTTGCTGAGGAAATGGCACCACGCTGAGGTCTGGAGGAGGGAGAGGAGTTTGCCAGATAAGGACATTAGGGCAGGTGGGGTAGAGTATGAACTACATGTTTTCCCACCCAGATATAAGGAAAAGCATGGTGTGTTCAGGGAACTGTAGACACACCATTTAGTGTTGCTAGTGTAGGAAATGGGTAGTTGTGGCGTGTTGCAGCTAGAGATGTGGGCAGGGGTCCAATCATACAAGTTCTGTCAATCGTGTCATGGAGGATAAATTTATATTGAGGGTAATAGGAAGTGATTAAAGAAAGTGAAATAGGGGTGCCTGGGTGGCTCAGTCGGTTAGGCATCTGACTTCAGCTTAGGTCATGATCTCACAGTTCATGGGTTTGAGCCCCGCATCGGGTTCTGTGCTGACAGCTCAGAGCCTGGAGCCTGTTTCAGATTCTGTATCTTCCTCTCTCTCTGCCCCTCCCCCACTCATGCTCTGTCTCTCTCTGTCTCAAAAATAAATAAAAAACAAACAAAAAATTTAAAAACAAAAAAAGAAGAAAGTGAAATAATCTGACCAACCCATACCACAATTCTAGAGGTTGGCAAACTGACTACAATCAGCTCCACTTTCTCAGGGAAAAACCTGAAACTTACAGAAAAACAGTACTTTGCCCAGACTCCCCGGCTAATTAGCCTCAGAGTTTATATCATTTGCAAAAAAAATAAAAATAAAAAATGTTTAAAAAAACAAGCTAACATTCCTTTATTAGTCACGATACTGGGCACGAGTAGACTCTTCACATAACTGTTCTCTAGTCCTGACCACACACCTGCAAAGCCAGGTACGATCGTTCCTGTTTTGCAAGTGAGGAGTCCAGGGCTCAGCAAGGTTAACTGGCTCATCAAAGTCCATCAGATCACAACACTTGGAGCGTCTACTCAGTGCCAGGGGCAGTGGGAGGTGTTAGGGATATAATAATAAAGGAAGAAAGCAAAACTTAATCCCAGGTCTGCGGCCCAAAGTTCTCATCTCTCCACGAGCCCAGAGCTTCTCACTCTGAGGTGTGCATACACATCACCAGGGGATGATGTCAGGATTCTGAGGCCGTGAGCCAAGGCAGGGACCCAAGATTCTGCATTTTTTTTCACAAGCTTCCAGCCGATGCCAGGCTGCCCGCCACGGAGTCTGGTTCCAGGAGCAGCTCCACACCTCCCTCCCCTCCAGGATCTCACCCTTCATCTGGTTTTGTGCCCTGGCCCCCGCCGCCCCTGCCCCTCTGGTTACCTCTGAGTTGTTCTCGGCCAGGTAATAAACAGCTGTGCAGCAGGCAACGGCCACTCCGGTAGAGATGACCCAGGCTGCCAAGTGGGCCGACACATGGATCAGCTGCTGATTGAGCGTTAACTTGACATTCTCCTGACGGATTTCTGACAGGTTTTCCTATAAACACAGGGAAGTCAGGTTGGCCCTCGGTACCCTATCACCTGTTAGCAAAGACTGTGCAGGGGAATATCTACCACTCTGGGACACAACCCACCCCAGATGCACAGGAGAGAGACAGGGGCATGATGGATGCGGATTATGAGAGACCCATGGGGAAATCTCAAGTGGACCAAGAACCCCCGTCACCGAGTCAATCAACTTTTCCATCTTAGAGAAACAGAGACCAACAGATTGGGACTGTGCTCTTGAGGAGAGCACTGCGAGGTCATTGAACTCTTGTTGGAAGCATAAGGCTGGGAATCTACACCAAGGAAGTTAACGTCTTCAAACCTTCTGTCAAAGCCTCTTTGCTTACAAATTCTTCTCCCTCTTTTTTCCCCCTGATTTCACCCATCCTTCCACCCATGTCCCCTCTAGCAGCATCCAGTTTGTCCTCTGTATTTAAGAGTCTGCGGGTGGGTATTTTTGTTTGTGGTTTTCTCTCTCTCTCTCCTTTTTCTTTCTTTTCAGTAAGTTTTTTTCTATAAACCAGGGTTTCTCAACCTCAGCATTTTTAGCATTTTCAGCCAGTAATTCCGTATTGTGACAACTGTCCTGTGCACTTCAGGATGTTTAGCAACGTCCAGTAGCATCCTCCCCCTAACTGTGACAATCAAAATGTCTCTAGATATAGGGCCCCTGGGTGGCTCAGTCGGTTAAGCATCCAATTTTGACTCAGGTCATGTTCTTATGGTTTATGGATTCGAGCTTCGCATCAAGCTCTGTGCCGACAGCTCAGAGCCTGGAGCCTGCTACAGATTCTGTGTCTCCCTCTCTGTCTGTCCCTCCCCAGCTCACATGTGTGCTCTCTCTTTCATAAATAATAAACATTTTTTTAATTAAAAAAAAAAAAGAAAGAAAAGTTACAGACATACTGAAGGAACTCAGCTGTGGGAAGGTGTTGTGAAAAGCAAGCTTGCCTTACCCTTATCTCAGTGCTGAGATTCTTCTGTTTCAGCTTAACAGCTTTTTCATGAGTGATGGTGAAGTCCCAGCAGAAAATAAGTTTAGTGATCCCTCTGGAGTAGATGTGGGGGTTAATGAAGTTGTTCCGGAAATACCTGGCCATGCTAGGGAAGGCAGAAACCAAAATACTCAAGCATTATTGAAACAGGCACTGGGGAGTGCAGGAATGAAGCAAAGGGGAGTCCTACCATTAACAGTGACAGGTGACATGGAACACTCAGCCCCAGGTTCTACTGGGACAGTGCAATCACAACATAATGGTTAAGAGCACTGGCTTCAGGATCTCATAGGTCTGGCTTATAATCCTGGATTTCCAGCTGGGGGATCTTTGTTCTTTCAACTGCTATAAGCCTCAGTTTCCACATCTATATAATGGGGATAATAATAGTATCCATGCACAGAGCCTTTATGAGAGTTGTATTAGTTTCCTCTAGCTGCTGTACCAAACTGTCCCAACCTTAGGTGGTTTAAAACAACACATCCTTATTTATTCTCTTCCTGGAAGTCAGAAATCAGGAAATGTTTCTAAAATCAAGATGTCAGCAGAGCTGTGTTGCTTCCAGATACTTTAGGGGGAAATCTGTTTCCCTGCCTTTTCCAGCTTCTAGAGGCTGCCCGCATTCCTTGGCTGATGGTCCTTCCAGTCTTTGAAGCCAGGAGAGCCGCGTCTTCCATTCTCTCTGACTTTGGCCTTCCCTCCTCTCACTTATAAGGACGCTTATGATTAACTGGTCCATTTTAAGATCCTTATCTCAGTCACATCCACAAAGTCCCTTTTGCCATTTAACGTAAGATATTCACGGGTTCTGGGGATTAGGCCATGGACATCTTTGGGAGGCCGGGGGAATTGTTCAGCCAACCACAAGTCAATGTAGCGGTCAGAACAATAAGCACTTGATAAAGGCAGGTGCTAATAGCATGGAGACGTCAGCAGGACTCAGTGAAATCAGCCCAGGAAGCACTCAGCACTGAGCCTGGCATGTAAAAAATGCTTAGGAAATATCTTTCCAAAATTTGTTTCCTAGTTTGATAGGACAAAACGAAATCTCATATTACTTTGAATTATTGTGCTGGCAGTGAGGTTGTTATAGGCTGAACTATATACGCTAAAAACTCATATGCTGAGACCCCAACCCTTAACCCCCTAACCTTCAGAAAGCAATGGTAGTTGGAAATAGGATCTTTACAGAGGTAATTAAGTTAAAATGAGGGCAGCGAGGTGGGCCCTCAGGCAATATGCCTGGAATCTCCACAAGAAGAGGAGATTAGGACTCAGACATGCACCGAGGGAAGGCCCTACTAGGACACAGTGAGAAGGCAGGCATCTATAAGCCCCGGAGGGAGGCCTTGGAAGAAACCAACCCTGCCAGGACCTTGATCTTACACTTCTAGCCTCCAGAACTTGAGAAAATACATTTCTGTTGTTTGGGCCACCCAGTCTGTGGCACATTGTTATGGAAAACCTAGTAAACGAATACAAAGGTTGAACATCTGTCAAAGGGACAGTTTTCCATCCATGCCTTTCCTTCCATATACCTAGTTGGGTCACTCCATCTCTATTTTCAGACTGACCAATTTCCTTGAAAGCACACAAAAACCTCCCTTCTTTATCCAAACTTAGAGTTCGTGTTATAAAACAGGAATGATCAGACAGCAATAGAAAGTCAAAACTGCAGAGAAATTGCTTCCTGGGGAACTTTTGACTCTCTTGAATTTTACCTAAATCCAAAAGGAGCTTAGGATTGAGGAAGGCAGACACTCCCTACCTGAATAGCAAACTGAAAAAACAGATGATCAGACACGCTCCGACTGTGAAGATGTAGGCCAGCTGCATGTTGTAGGATGCTCCGCTGCTCCCGTGTTGGATCGTAGAATTCGTGTAAAAGCCGTAATACATCACTGTGTCCCGAAAATAACCCTGAAAGGGACAATAAAGCCCAGGTCAGGTGGGTCTCTGGAGAAAACAAGACTATGGTCAGCACACTTCACCTTTTCTATCGGCAAGAAACTTGCATCAGTCAGTTTTGACATTTTGCTTGCAGGGAAATGTCACCCAAGGTCACTGAGAATGTAGACGTTTTACTACTAGGCTCTTCGAGTTGGGCAAGGACTCTCGAACCCTCCTTACAATAGAGGGACCCAGCTGTCACCACCTGAACCCAGGGACCAAGCAAAGCATGACTAAAACCAGGACAGCCAGTCATCTGTTAAGTATTATGGTCAAACATGTTCGATACGAAAGAAATCAAGCCCTTAGGTCTAAGTTGCAATTTACAGGAAATAGGGGTGAGAGGAACAAGTCAGAGAGACCATAAAGAAACAATCAAATGATTCCAGAGGCAGGACATTGGGGTCTGTATGACAACTGGCCTGCAATTTCTACAACAGGCCAATGTCAAGAAAAAAGGAGGCTGTGTCTGGAGATAGAGATCATTCTAGATTAATTGAGAATTCAGAGAAAAAGCAACTGAAGACAAAGTGTGGGCTTAATTGGATCCTGGTCTGAAGAAGCAGGCTAGGAAAGACATTTGGGGAACAACCAGGAAGATTTGAATATGGTCTGGATTTTAGAAGATATTAATTTTTAATTTTGCTAGGTGTGATAACTGCAGAAAGTGTCCTTATTTTGCAAAGATGCATGTTGAAGAGATTTGGAGTAAAATATCCTAATATCTGTAATTTACTGCAAAATGCTTCCAAAAAATAATAAGATAAAACAATGTGGCAAAATGTTAACAATTTAGAAACCTACATAGTGGGCATATGAGTGTTCATGTACTACTCTTTATTTCCTGTACATTTGAACATTTTCATAACAAAATGTTATATATATACAAATATAAAAAATATGTATCAGGGCACCTGGGGGGCCCAGTTAGTTAAGCATCCAACTCTTCATCTCAGCTCAGGTCACAATCTCATGGTTTAGGGTTTCAAGCCTCTTGTCTAGCTCTGTGTTGACAGTGTGGAGCCTGCTTGGGATTCTCTCTCTCTCCCCCTCTCTCTCTCTGTTCCTCACATGCTTGTGCTCTATCTCAAAATAAATAAACTTTAAAAAATAAATTTAAAAAAATGTTAACGTTTATTTTTATTTTTGAGAGAGAGAGAGAGAGAGATGGTGTGAGCAGGGGAGGATCAGAGAGAGAGGGAGACACAGAATCCGAAGCAGGTTCCAGGCTCTAAACTGTCAGCACAGAGCTCGACATGAAGCTCGAACTCACAAACTATGAGATCATGACCTGAACCGACGTTGGACACTTAACCGACTGAGCCACGCAGGTGCCCCTAAAAAATAAATTAATTAAATTAAATATATATATCACAATGAGGAGAAAAATGAAAAAGAAATTTACATAATAATTCTCCTTTAATACACTTATCCCAAGGAAGAATTTTTATTTTTATTTTATTTTTATTTTTTTAGTGTTTTATTTATTTCTAGGAGAGAGAGAGAGAGACAGCGTGAGCAGAAAAGGGTCAGAGAGAGAGGGAGTCACAGACTCTGAAACAGGCTCCAGGCTCTGAGCTGGCAGTCAGCACAGAGCCCGACGCAGGGCTCGAACCCACAAACCGCGAGATCATGACGTGAGCGAAAGTCAGATGCTTAACCAACTAAGCCACCCAGGCGCCCCCCAAGGAAGAATTTTTAAAAGAAAAGGAAATTTTAAAAGATAAGTAGAAGAACCTGATTTTCAACATTGTACTTCAAGAGTCAGCAATTTTTCTCTGTGAAGAGCTAGGTAGGAAATATCTGGCTTGGTAGCTATAGCAACAACTCCACTTGGCCACGGTAGCAGGAAGGCATCACAGACACCTAAACGAATGGATGTGACTGTGTTCTAAAAGGACTTTATTTATGGACACACATTTGAATTTCACAATAATTTTCATGTTTCACAAAATGTTATCCCTGTTTTGATTTTTTTCAACCATTTAAAAATGTAGAAATCAATCTTAGTTCATTGGCTGTACAAAAATAGGAGGCAGGCCAGATGTGGCCCCAGCTATAGTTTGTCAGTCTCTGGTCTACAGAATCCCAATGGCAGAAATCTCTTCTAGAAGGTAAACTCACAAGGCAGGGGCTCTAAGTCTCAATAGGGAGATGGGTAAATAAATTATGGTTGCTGTTCAAAAGAATACTGTGAAAAAAAAAAAGAAAAAGAAAAATATAAAATAAAAAATAAAAAGAATACTGTGGATTGGGGTGCCTGGGGGTTTCTGAGGTGGTGGGTTTCCAGGTGGGGGGAAAGGGAGAACTTACCGCCCCAGTGAAAAATTCCAATCCAGTAAATTGGAGGGTGTTCTTTTCAAGTACAGTAAACTGAGGGATGATGATGAAGCTGAAGGTCACAATGAACGAGAAAATGTTGAACTTCAAAAGCCACCTCAGAAAGTTAAAATAGGAGAGGACACTGGTTCCAAACTTGCCTCCGATGACCTTGAACGTCTTGTGCCACAGACTGATGTAACTGAGCAGTTCTGACAGGCTGTTCTTAGACCTCCGGTACGCCTGGGGTAGGAGCACAGCGCATGTGGTAGACATTCACTCAACAAACACCTACGGAGCAGGTCTCGTAATAGCAAAAATGGCCACTGTTTCTAGAGCATTACAATATGCCAGACACGCGCTAAGCGTGTTTGCAAATGTTATCTCATTTAATCTGCTAGACCACTCTTCCAGGTGAGTACTATTATTACCTCCCCAGGTTTGCTGTTGAAAGTGACACTCACAGTGGCGCCTGGGTGGCTCAGTGGGTTGAGTGTCCGACTTTGGCAAAGGTCACGATCTCACAGGCTGTGGGTTTGAGCCCTGCGTCAGGCTCTGTGCTGACAGCTCAGAGCCCGGAGACTGCTTCTGATTCTGTGTCTCCCTCTCTCTCTGCCCTTCCCCAGCTCACACTCTGTCTCTGTCTCTCAAAATAAAATATATTAAAAAATTTTTTTTTAATTTTTTAAAAAGTGACACTCACAATAGCTATACTGTCTAAATAACTCAGCAACCTCTTAGACCTCTGCATGCCCATCTGGTTTCTCTGCACCTAGACTGACCCAATTTCTATGGTTTTCAATAAAACAGCCCCGAAGTTTGATTCCTCTTCCCCTTGGATACTTTTCATCCCACTCTGCAACCTCCCTGTTTTTATCTTTGTAGCATGCCCATTTTGTTGACTGAAATAAAGACCTCTTACCCGTGAAATGGAGTTCAGACACTGAGCACAGCAGTTGAGTTCAAGGATACGGCTGGATTGCTTACTTTTCTCTTTGTCAACCATCTTCCTGTGGGGAATTCCAGAAGAAAGGGAGAGATACAAATGCTGTAATCGTTTCATTCCCCAAATAATTACTGAATGTCTGTGGTGTGCTAGGCATGAGCTGAGTAGTGAGATAAAGAGAATGATTTCCCTGCCTCATGGAGCAGACATCCTAGTTGGAAGAGGAAGACAATAAACAATAAATCAAAGTGATTTGTACAACGGGAAAGAAAAAGGAAAACAGAGCAAGGTAAGGAGATGGGAAATGCTGGGATGGGGATTGTGTTATAATTTGAAAGAGCAGGACATTTGAGCAAAGTCTTGAAGGAGGGGAGGAGTTAGTTGTATGGATAAGGGATTACTCCATGGTATAGGGAACAGCCAACATGAGTCCCCCAAGGAGGCCAGGATGGATAGAATGGAAAGAGGAGGGGGAAGGGAGGAGGGTATGAGTAATAATTGTTGCAGGGGGAGGGGGAAGGTTCCTATAAGTCACCACCCTTGAGTGGTTCTCCACCTAGGGAGATTTTGTCCCCCAAGGAACAATTTCTCAATGTCTGGAGACATTTGTAGTTGTCAGAACTGTAAGGGAGAGAGGTTTGCTACTGACATCTACTAGGTAGAGCCCAGGCATGTGCTAAACCCCCTATAATAAACTGGACAATCCCCCACAACAGAAAATGATCCAGCCCCCAATACTGTGCACACTGACGTTGAAAAATCCTGTTTTAAAGTCTTTGGGGCCCTCACAAGCTCCTTGTTCCATGACAGAGGCGGCCATGCAGAGTCTGAAAGGGAAGAGTGTAGGGGTGCCTGGGTGGCTCAGTCAGTTAAGCATCTGACTTGGGCTCAGGTCATGACCTCGAGGCTGGGGAGTTCAAGCACCATGTGGGCTCTCTGCTGTCAATGCAGAGCCTCCTTTGGATCCTCAGTCTCCCTCTCTCTCTGCCCCTCCCCTGCTTCTGTGTGCACACATGCACACTCTCTCTCTCAAAAATAAAATAAAAACATGAGAAATAGAAGAGTGTTTTTAGAAGGATCCAGCCACAGTTGGCATCTTTACCTTTCCATGAATTCATCGCAGCTACTTTGCTCTGGGCCTTTCCTGGTTTTCTTTGTCCACCCAAATGCCTATCCCCACATCTCCATCTTCCACAGCTTGGCCCACATGGCCTCCTGCTTGGGCGAGGCAGCCTGTATCACTCCAGCTAAAGTTTCCTGTCCTGTCTGGCAGTTTCCTCTACCTTGATTTGGCCTGATTTCCTGTTTCTCATGTGTAAGCTTCTTGTTGACAAATCCATCTCTGTTGTCAGACTTGACAAGTTATCTTTGCAAACCCAGAACAACTGCATTATTGATTTATTTATTAGCAATTGTTGCAACCACTCTATTATTTTCTGCCAAGATGACAAATTGCAAAAGAAAAAGGCTGTGGGGCGCCTGGGTGCTCAGTTGGTTAAGCATCTGACATCAGCTCGGTCATAATCTCATGGTTTGAGTTTGAGCACCACATTGGGCTCTGTGCTGACAGTGCAGAGCCTGCTTCAGATCCTCTGTCTCCCTCTCTCTCTGCCCCTCCCTGGCTCATGTACTCTTTCTCTCTCTCAAAAATAAATAAACATTTAAAAGAAAAAAAGAAAAAGGCTGAAGAACAGTAAATGTAAAGTAGTCTGAGGCTGAAAATAGTCCTCACTCTTTCACTCTTTTTTTTTTTTTTTAAATTCTTGGCCTTAGAAAGCTTTTGAGTCCTTCTTCTTCTTTTTTTTTGTGTAAACTTTGAATTTTAGAGTAATTCAAGATTTACAGAAACGTTGAAAAAACAGTAAAGAAAACTCCTATACATGACTCACCATTTTCTCCTATTAACATCTTATATTTCCATTGTAGTTTGTCAAAACTAGAAACCAATGTTAGTTAGCATATTACAATTACCTAAAACCCCACACTATCCTGATTTCACTCAATCTTCCATGAATGCTGTGTTTTATTTCAGGATCCCATACCACATTTAATTTAGTTGTCATGTCTCTTTAGAATCCTCTAGTCTGCTTGACTTCAACTCAGGTCATGATCCCAGGGTCATAGGATTCTCTCTCTCCTTCTGCCCCTCCCCCACTCACACTCACACTCGCACTCACTCTCTCTGAAATAAAAAAATTAAAACATTTTAAAAATGAAAAAAAAGGGTTCCCTAGTCTCTGACAATTTTTCAGATTTTTTTTTGTTTGTTTACTTATTTACTTTGAGAGAGAGATAGGGAAAGGCAGAGAGAGAGACTCTCAAGCAGGCTCCACACAGTGTGGAGCCTGATGCAAGGGCTCGAATTCACAAACCATAAAATCATGACCTGAGTCGAAATCTAGAGTCAGATGCTTAATTGACTGAGCCACCTGGGCACCCCAGACTTCCCTTATTTTTAATGACCTTGACAATTTTGAGGAGTGCTGGTCAGGTATTTTGTAAAATGTCCCTCAGTCAGGGGGTTGCCTGATTTTTTCTCTGGTGACACTGAGGTTACTGTCTTTAGGAGAGAGTACCACAGAAGGAATGTGCTCTTCTGACCATCTATCTCTGGCGATGCTAATCTTGACCACCTGGCCGAAGGGGAGTGTAAACTTGACCTCATCACTGGAAAGTTACTCTCCCTTGCTTTCCATACTCAACCCTTTGAAAGCACATCACTAAGAGAGGACAGAGGAGTGTCTATGCAGATTATTTGAAATTCTTCTGTAGCAAGATTGTCCTTTTCCCTTGCATTTATTTCTTATCTTTCTAAGATGGTGCAAAAGTAGAAGACTGAGGTTCACATGAAATTTGGGAAGAAGAAAAGCTTTGGGTCCATACTTAAGGTTCCTTTTCTCTTCCATGGTTCTTGGCTGATTCTTGATGGCTTTAATTCTGTCTCTAGAGGTCATTGGTGTCAAAGATGCGATTAACTTTTGTCCTGTGGAGGAAAACAAATGGAGTTTCAGTCTGTTTCTTTCACAGAATATCAACATTTTAAAAGACAGCACTGAACTTAGAGCATGTTTTTACAAGAACACAAGGAAAGAAGGATATAGGGGCTCAGTGATCCCAAAGGCCACAAATGAAAACAAGAGGGCAACCTGGTGTATTTCTCAACGCAAAGCAAATGATAATGTTTGCGTGCAACATTTGATATTTTCCTTTTTTTCTTTGAGAAGAAATATGCATTGAAGCCAACAAGCCCCTGCACATCTGGTCAGGGTCACTGTCCTCCCTCACTTGATTGCTGGCACCATTTTCTCTTGACCCCCATACTCTAGGCCCAGGCATCTTCTTTACAATTCCTTTTTTTTTTAATGTTTATTCATTTTTGAGAGAGAAAGAGAGCACAAGCAGGGGGAGGGGCAGAGAGAGAGACACACACACAGAATGAGAAGCAGGCTCCAGGCTCCAAGCTGTCAGCACAGAGCTCAATGCAGGGCTCGAATTTATGGAACATGAGATCATGACCCGAGCCAGAGTCAGACACTTAATAGACTGAGTCACCCAGGTGCCCCGTCTTCATTACATTTCTTGAGTGTTGTCATATATGCTCTTCTGCCCCCTGGAATGACTCTCCCATCTTCTCAGTATCAACAGATACTGTTGATCATCTTCCCTACTCATCTCTCCTTTTTATTTTATTTATTTATTTTATTTTTTTTTAATATTTTTATTTATTTCTAGGAGAGAGAGAAACAGCGTGAGCAGCGGAGGGTCAGAGAGAGAGGGAGTCACAGACTGAAGCAGGCTCCAGGCTCTGAGCTGGCAGTCAGCACAGAGCCCGACGCGGGGCTCGAACCCACGAACCGCGAGATCATGACCTAAGTGAAAGTCGGACGCTTAACCGACTAAGCCACCCAGGCGCCCCACATCATCTCTCCTTTTTAATAGAGTACTGATTTTTGGGGGGAAATCTACTCCCTCTTTCCCAAGGCCCTCAGCTTCTGCAGGTGGGACCCATCTTCAGGCATAGGGTATGAGTCCCTTGAGTCCAAGTTCATTCTCGCAGATGACTGATTTAGGCATGAGCATGTAACAAGATGCTGGCCAATGTTCTGTGATGGGTGGTCTGTTGAGGAGTGTCTTGGAAAAGGCTTCTTCCTTCTCAAAAAAGAAAAGAAAACAAGAAAAATACAGATCCTTTTCCTCTGGATGTTGTTGTGTGGCCACATGTGAGCTGCTGTCACCATCTTGTAATGATGAGGAAGCCAGTTGGGGGCCTAATGACTGGGGTAACTACAGAGGGAGTGGGCTGGCTCCCTGGTTATGGAGCTGAAACTCCATAATTGACCTAGTTGGTGTGAAAAGGAAATCTCCAAAAGAGGGCCACCAACTCACTCTGCTGAAGACAAGGAATATGTCTCTCCTGAGAGTGAAGTGGGGCTAGACAGAGGGAAGAAAGGACGAGGAGGAGGAGAAGAACACAGAGATGTGGAAGGCAGCAGCATGAGGGGAGACACCCCAATCTTCAATAAAGGGGCTAAGCCCACAAAATGCTTTAGTGTGAATGGATTTTTTTTCCGTCTTAGCAATCACTGAGAGTGGCTAGACTTTATGCCTGGAGAATTAGGAGATGAAACAGAAACAGCAGCCAAGAAACCACTGTTTGGCCTCAGGAACAGAAAGGCAGGGGAGTAGTGTCGGCTAAGACCTGGTGTCATGGCGGACTTGGCAATAAGGGCCATCCTATGTTGCCAAATCCAGGATGGGGAGGAACTGGACCAAAGCAGGACAGCGGTTGAGGCATCAGGCTTGGAAACCAGACAGACCTGCATTTGGGCCCTGGGTCTGCCAGGTCATTTAATCTCATCGAGTAAATGGAAGCAACAAATGTGCCAGCCTCAAAGCGTGGGGAGTAAGTAAAACTAAATTTGATGGAAACAAAGGAAGTGCTCGGCAGACTACCAGGCACAGAAAGTGAGCTTGGGGGGTGCCTGAATGGCTCAGTCAGTTGAACATCTGACTTCAGCTCAGGTCATGGTCTTGCAGTTCTTGAGTCCTAGCCTCATATTGGGCTTGTTGCTGGCTGCATGGAGCCAGCTTCAGATCTTCTGCCCCCCACCTCTGCCCCTCCCCAACTTGTACTCTCTCTCAAAAACAAACATTAAAAAAAAAAACAATAAAAAGGAAAGTGAGGTTGGTCATGGTAAACTCCTTTTTAGGTGTTAGGTGCTCCAAAGTGCCCCTTCCTGGATCCATCCGTTAGGTCATCTACCAAACTTCAACCTATTTGATGTCTTAAAATTTAAAAACCTCATGGACAACTTGAAGGCCTTCCTTGAGCCCTTCCTAACTCCTTTCCTCCCAGTGTCTCACCACCTTGAATGTTTTCATGTGAAGTGTCTATGCCCACACTTCCTGGGCTACGATGAAGGGTCCGAGGAAACGATTCATTCAAAGATGTGGAAAACCTCAACAACTGCTTGCTCTTTTTGTCATTTGGGTTGTTGAAACTCTGAGAGTCTGTCACATCAATGTCAGAAATGGATGAGACCATACTGAAGGTTGGGTTCACCAGTGTCTTTTCCGGAACAACCCCATATGGAACATTCTCAGCCTCAATGATGATTTCATTCAGTTGGTCATCAGACAGCATCTCTTGCCTCCTCCAAGGCTTGTTCTCCACCGGAGTGGCCTTCCAAAGACCTCATAGAGCAGTCACACTGGCAGTGTCATGAGCCACCAGGAAAAAGGATGACGGTCACAGAGAGATGCCCCATTCACACTTGTTAAAAAACAAGGATGAGATTGCCAAAGCCAGTCCTACACAAATCATAAACATAACTCCCTACATCTGCACCAGGGAGCTCTCTTCATGAAGAGGTATGTTTTTCTGCAGAGACTTCTGTCTTGGTAGCTAAGTAAGAAATTGGTAGCTAGGTAAGGAAACAGAATCCTTCATTAAAGACAATAGGGTTCTAGAAACAGAAGGCAGAGATTCTTCTAAATGACTCATAATCAAAGGGCAAGATTTTCCTTCTTTAATTTGGTGCCCCTGGCCTAAAACATATATTTTATGTTTATAATTTTATATACCTATATAAATCCAGACAGGTTTATAGTAATACAATTATTGGGGCACCTGGGTGGCTCAGTCATTGAGTGTCTGACTTTTGATTTCGGCTCAGGTTGTGGGATCAAGCCTTGTGTGGGGCTCTGTGCTGAGCATGGAGCCTGCTTGGGATTCTCTCTCTCTCTCTCTCTCTCTCTCTCTCAAAAAAAAAAAATTCTATAGTAATATAATTATTATCTCTTAACTCCCTTGGGTAGCCAGCCCTGCTATTTGTCTGCCTCCCCATATCCGCTCTCCATTTTTCTCATACCCCCAGAAGCCACCTTTCCTGTGTAGGCACTGTACTCAGTTAAAATTCTTCTCACTTCGTTTGTGGTTAAAGATAGACCTACAATCCCCTTCTGGCCAATGAGACATAAAGCTTCCAGGAATGCTTTTCAAAAGGTAACAGTCTGCCTAGTTTCACTTTTTACCCTTCACCATTTCTCCGTCTTCCTCACCAGAGGGCCACCATTTTGAAAACAAAAGGACAAACACTCACCCGAGAAGGATGGTTGAGAAAGAAGCTATGGAAGAAACACAGTCCTTGAGGGCAACCTGGCAGACTGCCATACAAACCGGGAACCCCTTCCCTCCACACTTCTTGTTACATGAGAAACATAAATTGCTAAGCCATCCTATTTCAGTACAAGGCACCTGAACACAATTTCTACCCAATAGACCTGATTCAGAAATCACCTCGGCCAAGTACTTTAATAGTTGGGGAAACTGAGGTGCACAGAAATGAGTTGACACTCCCCGCCACAACTGCCCTTCTCATCATGCTTTCTTTTTTTTTTTTTTTTTAATGTTTTTATTTATTTCTAGGAGAGAGAGAGAGAGACAGTGTGAGCAGGGGAGGGTCAGAGAGAGAGGGAGTCACAGACTGAAACAGGCTCCAGGCTCTGAGCTGGCAGTCAGCACAGAGCCCAACGCGGGGCTCGAACCCACGAACCGCAAGATCATGCCCTAAGCGAAAGTCGGACGCTTAACCGACTAAGCCACCCAGGTGCCCCTCATCATGCTTTCATTAAATGGCAGGATTGGACTGAAACTCTATTCCTTCTCCCCACCAATGATAATTAATAGTAAAAATATCTGCCATTACTGCAGGCCCAGTACTTTAAAGAGTATATAATTTAATTTTCATAATCACCCTATGCAGTATATACAACGATAAACCCCATTTTATAGCTAAGAAAACTGAGACCCAAAGATGCAATTTGCCTAAGTTTACAAAACCAGCAAGTACCAGAGCTGAAGGTCAAACCCAGGTCCATCTAGACCCAAAGCAGGGCCTCTTAATCACTTCGGCCTGGCCCCTTCCTGTAACAAGATGCTGATGTATCATTTATTCATTTATAAATAAATAAACATTTATGAGTACCTACCATGTGCTGGGTCCTTCCTAGGTGCAAAGCGTAACCCATCAAAGTGATGTTTTATCAGGAGGCTGTACACCAACTAATTGTACGTGGTTTGAGAATCCAAACCAATGCAAAGCAAAATAATGAAAACCAGATTCATTTTTGGGTTTTCTATTTCTTTAATTCTCTCTGCCTTCTGGGACTCTTCTTTTACTAGAGGCCCCAACCTCAGACTGGCTAGACAGAGCAGGCCAGTGAAGTTAAAAGCTATTCTTTTTCCTCAGTAGTTAAAGCCATTTTCTGCGTGAGTGGGAACCAAATGGAGAGTGTGATCATTTATACCTCCATGGTTTCCCTCCCAAGTAGCAGTCCCTAACCCTTGAAGATATACACCTCCTTGAGAAGACTCTTAAAGAAGGAGGCTAAAAGCTGTCATAAAGGCTAGGGTGCCAGAAGGTGAGACATGGTTTTAGGTTATGAGGCTCCTCAATTCACATTATTGTACAGAGGATCCCATTGGTCAGTTTACTTCTTGTTGTTCACAGATTTACCTCCAGGTTTTAGCATTCCCTGGCCTCTCTCTTTTGCTTCCTTTTAATTTCTTGCTCTCTGCCTATGATCAGACCTTCATCACTGCACACAGTGATCCTTAGAGAGCTTCCTAATTGATTTCACAACATTCTGTCATTCTCCAGTCCGACTGCTCCTACACTCTAGAATCATAAATAATTATAGGATTATTCAGAAAAATTGGGATCAATGCAGACTCAGAGGCCCTTGTTCCTGTAACTCATTCACAAATTAATTTGACAAACAGCTCTGAGCATTTACTATATGCCAACCTCTATACTGGGTCGTGGAAGGTAATTCTACCTTCAGTTCTTTGTTTCTTTCCTGTCCTTCCCACCACATGAGCCAGTACATTCACTTTGGGCCCATGTGAGTTGGGTTTCTGTCACATGAAACCAGAAGAGATCTGATGAAAGCACCTTGATCTCCAGGAGAGACAAAAGTCTGCATATATAAAGGAAACCCCATTATAGCAAATTAAGCAAGTACTGCATCAGTTACCACACCAGTGGCCAAAAGGAAATAGCGATGTCTGTATTGCCTTGAATACATTTGTCTCTAAGGTTGATTTTTTTTGGCTACTATTCATGTAAGCCTTACCTTGGGGTGACTTGTGCCAGTCACATCCAGACAATGGTGGGTTTCTATAAGCTGGGTAGGGGTTCCTTTCACCCACAGAAGCAGGGTCCACTGGAATGAAGGGGCAGGAGATATCACCAATTAATCCCACCACACCAGGCATTACTGAGCACATGATGGTCAGTAAGATCTCAACCTTGACCTTGAGGTCCTAACAGACCTAACAGATTGAGTGTTTGGGTAGAAAATAGGACATAAATGTGGAAGCAATGCTGTCATACAAATAGGTTCAATCAGTGGTTCTCATTTAAGTACAAGCCATGGCTAAAAATAATTGTTACAATGGAATATTACTCAGCTGCAAAAAAATGAATGAAATCTTGCCATCTGCAACAACATGGATGGATCTAGAGCAAGCAAAAGGAGTCGGTCAGAGAAAGACAAATACTATATGGTTCTACTTATATGTAGAATGAAGTTAAGAAAGAAAACAAATGAGCAAAGGAAAATAAGAGAGGGAGAGAGACAAACCAAAAAAGAGGCTCTTAACTATACAGAACAAACTGATAGTTGCCAGAGGCAGGGGTGAGGAGGAAGGGGGAACAGGTGAAACAGGTGAAACAGGTGATAGGGATTAAGAGTACACCTATCACAATGAGCACTGAGTCATATACAGAATTACTGAATTACTATATTGTACAACCAAATTTAATATAACACTGTATGTTAACTATAGTGGAATTAAAATTTTAAACCTGATAAAATTTTTTAAAACTTATTATACTAAGATCCAGGACAAACCTACACACATATAACTGAAAAAGAAGTTTCACTAAACAATACTTTGCTGGACTACATAAAAGGCTCTCTAGTATATTCTCATTCTAGTTCATTATTTTTCACTTCATTTTTCAGGATTAACTTACAACTTGTTAATGGCTTACAACTCAAGAGTTTAAAAAATACTTGTCTAGGGGGTTAGGATAAATGGACAGAGCAGAGGGTATTTAGAGCACTGAAATTATTCTGCATGATACCGTAATGGTGACACAGGTCATTATACATTTGTCCAAACTCATATATATTAGATTAGGGTGTACAATATAGTGATTCAGTAATTCTGTACATGACTCATAGAATTTATAGCACCAAGAGTGAACTCTGATATAAACTATGGACTCGAGGAGATAATGATGTTCTTTGTAGGTTCATCAATTACCACTCTGGTGGCAAATGTTGATAATGGGGGAGGCTATGCATGTGGGGAAAGGAGTTGTATGGGAAATCTCTGTACATTCCCCTCAATTTTACTGTGAACCTGAAACTGCTCTAAGGAAAAATAAGACCCAAAAATGAAACAAACAAAAAACTGGTCTAGATAATCACAGAAGTTTTTTCTATTTCTAGCATTTTATAATGATGCATGAATAGATTTGAAATATGACATGACTTTCTTTTTTTTAATGTTATTTGCTTATTTTGAAAGAGAGACTGAGTAAGAGGAGGGGCAGAGAGAGAGGACGAGAGAGAGAATCCAAGCAGGCTCTGCGCTGACAGCAGGGCTGGAACCCACAAATTGTGAGACCATGACCTGAGCCAAAATCAAGAGGTAGACCCTTAACTGACTAAGCCACCCAGGTGTCCCTATGGCATGATTTTCCTAGGGATAGAGTCTACTCTCAGCATCTACACAACAGTGTAATCTTTCAGGATATTTTTATTCAACCTACAGTAAACATTTTTTTAAATGTTTTATTTATTTCTAAGAGAGAGAGAGAGACAGCATGAGTAGGGGAGGGTCAAAGAGAGAGGGAGATACAGAATCTGAAGCAGGCTCCAGGTTCTGAGCTAGCTGTCAGCACAGAGCCCAACGCAGGGCTTGAACCCACGAACCATGTGATCATGATCTGAGCCAAAGTCAAATGCTTTACTGACTGAGCCACCCAGGTGCCCCTTAACCCACAGTAAACATTAAAAGCTGAACTCCTCAATAGAGAAAATGGAACACATTTTGATGAGAACTATGCACAAATTTACATTTCAGTTCTGAACTTCCTCCTGGGGATCAATTCCCAGCTTTGTTACCAGTTGATACCCTCAGGCATGTTACCTAACCTCTCTGAGCTTCAATATCATGGTCTCTAAAACAGGAATAATGATGAGCCCTTCACATAGCATTGTTGAGGGAATTGAATCAGTTAACACATGTAATATGCTTAAAGTAATCCTGAGACATAGCAAACTATACACACACACACACACACACACACACACACATCAACTGTTTTAGATCAATTGTGTATATATATACATATATATACACACACACACACATATCAACTGTTGTAGTAGAGATATATACATACACATACACACACACACATCAACTGTTGTAGTAGATCAATTGTTGTTCAGCAAATATTATACCACCACCCCCTGGACAACTCCATTGAAGCTGGGCTTAGTCATGTGAATTTTATCAGTGGAACATGGCAGAAGTGACCATGTGTCAGTTCCAACCAACTGAAACCTTAGAGATGTTGTGTTGTTTTTGCTTGTCACTTTGAGCACTTCCAGCTTGTAACACGGGACAACAGTGCCCCCAGGTGGCTTCCTGGTTCAAGAAGGACACCAGGCTCTAGATACAGAATCCATGGCCTGGAGTCAAGCACAGCCATACCTAGCTTAGTTCAATCAAACTCCAAGCAAACCTACAGTTGTGTGAGCAAGAAATGTGTTTCCTTATTATACAACATTGGTTTTTTGCAACTGCTTGTTATGCAGCATTACTGTGGCAATAGCTAACTGATACATCCCTTACCGTTACTGCTGCTATTAATTCAGTTAGCACTACTTAAGCACCTACTATGGCCAGGCACTGTGACACTAGGAAAATCACCTAGAGCCTTAAATAACACATAGATGAAGATGGGTTCTGAAGGAATAGATAGTCTATCAAGATGGCATAGTAAGGGCAGATGATTGCCAAGGGCTACAGTCGTGGTCCTACAAAGGAGTTCAGAAAAAGAAATCACATGTGACTACTTCTTCTTCTTCTTTTTTTTTTTTTTAACATGAGTAGTCAGGAATCTATTTGCATTTGCCTTGATATTAACCAGTAGTAATATGGGATAAGTAAGAGTCAGGTTTTGGGTCAGAGAGACTGGCTCCTTCAACTTAGCAACTCAGTGATCTTGGTCATTGAGCCTCTGAGCCTCAGTTTTCCCATCTTCACTCATTTTCCCACCTATAAATAGGGAGAGCAGTAGTGGCTATGTGAAATTTCATCGTTCAGATTTAAACAAGACAACGAAAGTAAAGTGCTTCGCAGAGTCTTCAAGGCATAGGAAACATTCAAAATCTGCTCGGCATTATTAACTCCACTTGCTTTGGGTCAGGACTGTGTTTCTCAGTCTTTTTCATTATTGGCCCCCTAAGACTCCCTAAAGAGTCTTTTTAGACATTTTTCCCCCCCAGTACCCTGCCCCATGAAATTTTAATACTACAGGTATACTGTGTATCTGCTTATATATATGTATCGGTGCTTTATACATAAAAAGAAGAAGACACTTCTGGCCTTTCAAGAATAAATTTTACCCCTTTGGGATTTATATTGTCCCCCCAACCCATTGAGAATGCATGGCATAAAGGTTTGGAATAGCCAAAATGAATGTTTTCTATGCAAATATGTAATAGTCAGTGTTTTTCACCAGTGCATGACAGTGCATCCCATCCCCTCCTCTCTGCCTGCTTCAAACACTTCCCCATCTACCCTCTCAGGTGTAAGCAATCCGCCATCTGCACCCACCAGCACTTGGGCCCCTCGTTCTGTTCTTGGATGGACACTCTTTCCCTATTCTGGCCCCCACAGGCTCTAAGTTTCTATAATATTGACTCTCATGTCATGAACTTGCTTCTTTCACCAGACAGCAAGTCCCTATTCCTCCTGGAAGATAAGAAGTTTAGAATTTCCTTTGCTTCCCAGAGCTAAACCTTTACTCATAGCAGATTCTGAGGACAACATGATTGATGACTGTTGGCATATGAATAGTCTCCTTGCTAATTGTGTGTGTGTGTGTGTGTGTGTGTGTGTGTGTGTGTGTAGTCTTGACATGCTGGTGTCACCCACCCACTTACGCTCTAAATAACTTGAGGAGAGAGCTGCCTCACCCTCCCTTTGCCCCCCAGTAGGCTCTGAATACTCAAGTGCTGACTGTCTGAGCACTTGTAGGATGTGCTAAACTAACGCTGGCCCCTGGAAGCCACATAAACTGAATCTAGCCCACAAGTGATTTTGTTTGCCCAGCTCAGTGTTTTAATTTTTTTTGAGAATGTAAAAATTGGGATGTTTCACATAAAGACCCAGATTTCTTTTTTTTTTAATTTTTTTAAATGTTTTATTTATTTCTAGGAGAGAGAGAGAGAGAGCGTGAGCAGGAGAGGGTCAGAGAGAGAAGGAGTCACAGACTCTGAAACAGGCTCCAGGCTCTGAGCTGGCAGTCAGCACAGAGCCCGACGCAGGGCTAGAACCCATGAACGACGAGATCATGACCTAAGCGAAAGTCAGACACTTAACCGACTAAGCCACCCAGGCGCCCCAAAGACCCAGATTTCTTGGGGTGCTCGGGTTGCTCAGTCGGTTAAGTGTCTGACTCTTGGTTTATGTTCATGTCATGATCTCATGGTTCGTCAGATCAAGCCCATATTGGGCTCTGTGCTGATAGTGCCCAGCCTGCTTGGGAATTCTCTCTCTCTCTTCCTCTCTCTCTCTGCCCCTCCACTGCCTGCACTGTCTCTATCTCTCTCAAAATAAGTAAATAAATGTTTAAGAAAAAACAAATTTCTTGCTTCTTTAGAAATATCTGAGGATTGGGTCACCTGGGAGACTCAGTTGGTTGAGCATCTGACTTTAGCTCAGGTCATGATCTCACAGTTCATAGTTTGAGCCCCGTATTGGGCTCTGTGCTGACAGCTCAAAGCCTGCAGCCTGCTTCATATGGTGCTCCCTCTCTCTCTCTCTGCCCCTCCCCCACTCTCACATGTGCACTTTCTCTCTCTCCCTCTATCTCCCCTTCTCTCAAAAATAAACGTTAAAAATTTTAAGAAAAGAGAAATCAATAATTATTTTTAAAAAAGAAATATCTGAGGATTTAGCCATACTAAGCCTGCATTCCTGCATAACCCCAATGCACCAAATCTGAATATAGTCACCTCCTGGAGACACAGGGTGTACACACCCCCATTTTTCATAACCCCTAACCAGCCTGCTTTGACAAGTGATGATACTGCTTGTCTTCTCTAGACCCTCAGTGTTTTAACCTTTGTATGATGGGTGTTTGAGGGAGGAGGGATAAACCAATTCTTCTCTTCCTGGAACTCTTTAATGACTCCTCCCCTAAGTGCACCAATTTTACTTTCTTCTCAGGACATGATCTTCATCTTAACAACCGCTTACCGTAGCCACTGCCAGGATCCCCAGGCACAGAGTGGCCATATGGATTTGTCGCCTCCAGGGATTTCATTGCAATGCTTTCAGGGTAATCATCATTCTCTCTCTCAAGGATGCCCAAGGGGCCATCATTACCCCTATGACGAAATGAGGGTTGCACTGAAGATGTTCTGCTGAGCCCCCTGAAATCCCAAAATGATGGATCAATATTCATCTAGTAGCATAGTAAGGACAGTCATCCATTCATCATCCGTCCACCCGTTCATTCATTCCACAAACGCTTACTGAATGCCAACCATGCATTAGGCATGGTCTAGGGGGTGAGAACACAAAGATAAAAACATGGGGTGTCTACCCTCTAGAAGCTCTCACTCCAGTCTGTAGAGCTTCTTAGATACAACTAAGCAATTATAATATAGGTAGTAACTGGTGAGTACCAGAAGATAGGCCCAGGGAGTTCAGAGGAAAGAGAAAAGATCTGGCTGGCAGTTTGGAGGAATATTAACATGGAAAAGAAACATCCCAGGTGGGACTAGAAGGATAAATTCATACATAAAGAGTTAGAAGGAGGGCATTCCAAGGATGAAGAACAGCATAAACAAAAATGTGAGACCATAAATAGAAGTGCCAAATATATAAAGGAAAGACAATAAAAATCAATTAATCTGGAGCAATCGTCTCAATTTTATGCACATGCCAGTCCCTAGGCCCCACCCCAGACAATGACATCAGGAGGTCTGCAGGATGGGCCCAGGCATCTGCATTATTTGTAAAATTCCCCAGGTAATAAAATGATTCTAAGGTTCAGTCCAGGTCAAGAAGCACTGTACTAGATGGGGGGAGGGCCTAGTGGAGGTGGGGAGACAGGAGGAAGTCAGGCAGGCTGGTCTTTGGCTGGCATCCTCCTTCTTAAAAGTTTTCATAAGCAAAGCAGTATGGCCTGTCTCCCAAAGCTTATGGAAAACATGGAAGAGAGAAACAAAGAAGTGCAAGGATCAAAGGTTTATTTTGGAATAATGAATCAGGCAGTGGGGGATAAGACCAAGGAGGCCATTTTGGGTTTTTGTGGGGTTTTTTTTATGGTTATTTATTTTTGAGACAGACAAAGTGTGAGCCAGGGAGGGGCAGAGAGAGAGAGAGAGAGAGAGAGAGAGAGAGAGAGACACAGAATCCAAAGCAGGCTCCAGGCTCTGAGATGTCAGTACAGAGCCCAACACAGGGCTTGAACCCATGAACCATGAGATCATGACCTGAGCCAAAGTAAGATGTTTAACCGACTGAGCCACCCAGGCACCCCTGGTTTTTGTTTTTTAAATGTTTTATATATTTTTGAGGGAGAGAGCATGAGCAGGGGTGGGGCAGAGAGAAGAGGGACAGAGGATCTGAAGTGGGCTCTGCACTAACAGCGGTGAGTCCAAACCATGAGATCATGACCTGAGCTGAAGTCAGCTGCTCAACTGACTGAGCCACCCAGGTGCCCCAAGGAGGCCCTTTTGATCTGGTTCTATTAATTGTCCTATTTACCTCCTGAAGACATTGTGATCCTGCTGTACACCCAAATTGTATGTCCTTATTCCTCAAGAGAAATATAAGCATAAGTTTTTGTTGTATTTATAAACAAATGAGTAGAACTAGTACGTACCAAATTAGACTTCTATTGGTTAAATTGTCAGAGGGTAAAAATTTTTGTAGAGTAAAAATAACCTGACTAAACAATCACATCTTGTTGGCAACAGGACCTTACCCCAGAAAAAATCAGACTTGCTAGAACTAAGTCACCCAAACTAACACTATCAATGTCCAGAACTGTACCTAAAAAAATTTGTCAATGACCAAAAATTGCCAGAAGATTAAAATGATTTTTGACAAAATTTAAAATTACAGAATCTGAACCAGGAAAAAGGAGACTTAGTTTTTTAGAATGAGCTTAAAGGAATACTAACAATGGAGGAAAACTATGGTTCATAAAATCTGATGAAAAGAACACCAATGCAGAAGATCAATACACCAAATCTGCAGTAAACATGGAAAGTGATCAATTCTGACAATAATTACCGTAAAATAAAAATGAAACTAGAAAAAATCAGGAGTGGCTGAAACAACTTGAACCAAAAAAAAAATTGAGGAAGCAAGTTGACTTTGTGGAGTTAGAGTTTCAAAAGATTTTCTTGGTTAAAATGCATTCCTATGGCTAGAATTCCGAGTAAAATGTTTGAGTTCATAACTGTCAAGTCTTAGCCCTAACTTTACTGGCAAAGTAGCAGGGCTGAAACAGTTAGAATCTAAATATCTTGTAGGGATTAGATAGAAAGAGGGAGAAGATGTTATCCAAGCAAGAGGTGATGAAAGATTATGTTCAGGTAAGGGCTTGAAACCTCAGGCTGAAAGTCCATGGTCAGGTGAAGGCTACAGGTAGGTATGAAAATTTCACCAAACCTTCAGGTCACAGAAACCATCTTATGTGTCCCTAACCCAAACACCACCAACCAGGTTCCACTGGCCTGATGATCTAGCCTTCAGCCCCGACCCCAAAGGAGGGAGATGCTTGTACTTACGCTCTAGTCATTTCTGAAGTCTCAGGAAAGCCATAATCATGACCATCCTCAGCAACTGGGTAATCAGGCTTCCCCCAAAAGTCTGGAGAGGTCTGATAGTCCTCAGCCTTTGGATAATCTGGTTCCCCAAAAATGTCTGGAGAGTTATGTTGATTCTCAGCACCTGGATAATCAGGCTCTCCTAGAGTGTCTATGTATGGATTGATTCTGGAACCGGCAAATTCTGGATTCCTTCTGGAGCCTGGATGGTTGGGTGTATCTCTGGAGCCAGTGTGGTTAGAGTTTCCCTGAGCTCCAGGGTAGTCTGGTTCTCCCAAAGAGCCCAGATAATCAGGATCTGTTCTGGAGCCTGCATAGTTTCCACTGCTTCTGGAACCTGCAAAGTCAGAATTTTGTTGGGATTTAGAGTAGTCTGGCTCTCTGAATGAGCCTGGATGGTATGGTTCACTCCAAGATCCAGTGTAATCTGGCTCTGCCAGAAATGTGGGATAGTCCGAACTTCTGGAGCCCGCAGAGTATGGATTGTTCGTGGTGTTAGGGTAGCCTGGATTACTCTGAGATCCAGGATAATCTGGCTCTACCAGAGACCCAGGATAGTCTGTACTTCGTCTGGAGCCAGTAGAGAATGGATTGCTTCTGGTGCCAGGCTGATCCGGATTACTCCAAGATCTAGGGTAATCTGGTTCTGCTAGAGGCCTGGGATAGTCTGAACTTGTTCTGGAGTCTCCAGAGTATGGGCTGCTCCTGATGCGAGGGTTGTCTGAGTTGTTCAAAACACCTGGAGAGTCTGAATAATCCTGAGTTTTCAAATCCCCCCGTGTACGGTTCCGAGATCCTGAATAGTCAGGGTAATCTGGATCTTCCTCATACCCATAGTTCCTGTAGTAGGCAGACATGCTGGTAATGCTTCTTTACCCTGGAGGGTGAAAATGTTCCCGCATTTGTAGTTACGCCAGGTTTTTTTTTTTTATCTGAAAAACGAAAAGGAGAAGGTCAGATTTTTTTTCTTCCCTATAGAGATTGCTGGTTATCTTCCATTATTACCTATTTTCCTTTCTTTCACAGTTGGGTACACAGCTGCCCAGAATCAGGACCATGTGTCCCAGTCTCCCATACCCCCAAGACGTGACCATGAGAGTGGTCAATGGGAGGTGAGCAGCAGCAGTATATATAACTCCCAGGTCTGTGTTGTCTAAGGCAAGGGGTGCTGCTCCCTTTCTCAGTCTTCTTACCTTCCGTAGGCTGGAATGTGGAAACGATGGTGTGCCATCTTGGGCCATGCACCCAGCCCAGGCATAGCCCACAACAGACGGAGGAAACCTGGGTTGCTGGTGACATCACAGATTAGTGCCAGCATATCAGCTTGGGATTTCATGTAAAAGAAATAAGCTTTTATCTTGTGTGAACCACTGCTTTTTTTGGGGGGAGGGAGGGGTCTCTGATACATGTGGCCAGACTTCCATCCTAACCACTATATTCCCTTCGTTGTGGAGGTGGGGAAAACAATAAACCAAAAGACCAGAAGAAACAAAGGACTTTTTAAATACTTTGATGGCACTTGTGGTTGTAGGGTTCAGAGCATAAATTAGTCGGAGTGCACAAAAGAAGAACACTTCATGGTAACTAGAGGACTTGGGTAAGAAGACAACTGCTGTCATCCCTTCCAGTTTGAAACTGCGTTTTTGTGAGTTCTCCCAGCTCTAATCTGTAGGCAGGGTATACTTTCAAATCAGAGATAATGGGATTTTAATTTCTGAGTGGGATGGATATCTGTTGTTTTTACTGGCCTATTCCTCCTTTTTCCTTCTTTTGGCACCAGTGCCCTGGTTTTCATCTGGGCACCTGCCTCTCCCTATTCCTGACTCCATGGACAGCCACATGACCTAGCCTTAGCCAATCAGTGTCCACCATGCCCCTGGCCACAGGGTGTGGTTCAGGACTGGGCATATAGCCCAGATCCGTCCTCCGGGAGCTTAACGAGACTAACTGGGAAAGATGCCCTCTTACTTCACTAGGTTGCCAGGGTGATGGAATGTGGGCCTGTAACCGGTGGTGTTGTGTCCATAGGAACAGAGAAGAAAATAAGTAGGGGAGAAAATTTAAAGGAAAAATCAGTAGGCTTTGTGGACTAACCAGATATGGGAACGTTGAAGGGTAAGGAAACAGAAAGACAAAAACAGCTCCACGGTTTCAGCCAGTGTGATTAGATAAGTAGTGTTGTCTTTGAAAGAAGGAAGTGAGACTATTTTTAAAGTTCAGCCAATGTTTACAAGTTTATCTCTATACAAATGAAAAAGATTTGACTCTGTTGGGTAATCAGAGCTGAACAATTAACCTTTTGCCATTACCTGCAGTCTTAGAATATTCACTCGCCAACTCAATTTCGTATCCCTCAGCATAGTGAAAGTCAATTGTTCATTATTTTGTCCCTGCCCAGCACCCATTTCTCTCTTTCATGGTAACATTTTTCCTTGAGTAATACTTCTTCCTCCCTTCCCCCACTCAGTCTATGTGGGCCAGGTGTGGACATACGACCCAATCAGAATTCTCTTCTCTCTGGCCACAGTGATTGGGTCAGGGAGCATAACCCCATCCAAGCCAATGAGATTCAATTCTGAGAGTTTTGTCAGAAGTGTTAGGACGAGAGAAGCTCTCTCTTTTGGCTGGATTGGGAGTTAGGAAGTTCTAAGACTGAAGCTGCCAGGGGTCACCAGTGGAGGAGGCCTGTCTAAGAGTGATGTCAACAGGGAAGAGCCAAGAACCAAGAGACAAGCAGAAACATCAAACGTGGATGGCAGTGGTTAAGCACCTGAATCCAGCCATGCCTGAAGGCAAATTACCACTGGATACTTGCATAATTAAATTCCCTTTATTTTATTGTTTAGTTTATTTATTTATTTTGAGAGAAAAAGAGAGGGCACGTGCATGAGCAGGGGAGGGGCAGAGAGGGAGAGAGAGCCGGCTCCGTGGAGCAGCACCCAAGGCTGGGTTCAGTCTCACGAACCTGACCTGAACTGAAATCAACGGTGGATGCTTAACCAAATGAGCCACCCAGGTGCCCCTCATTACATTCCCTTTAGACTTAAGTTAGTCTAAGTTGGGTTTCTGTAATTTGCAAATGAAAAAGAAAAGTTTTGACTAATATGTTCAGTTTTGCAAACAGAAATGTTTACACCTCTGAGGGCAATGAAAACTAAATGCTATGTGATAATGCAAATTATTTCTCATAACATGGAAAATGAACCCATTCATTTGCTTATATGTAAGCCCACAAGTTAATGTATTTATGATCTAGGATTTCCACTGACTACCAAAACCTCAGCTCTTAAATCTAACAAGCTAAATGATGCCTTCTAAATTCAAGACAATGAAAATTGGTACAATACCAACCAAAGAGAAATGAGTATGTCCACCAAAAGGCACTGGGAGTGTTCACAGCCACTTCTTTTCCATAAATGCCAGAAATCAGAAACAACCAAATGTCATTCAACAGCAAGAGAAGTCAATAAAGCGTAGTATATTCATACAATGAAATACTATACAGAAGTAACAAAGACTTGGGGCACCTGGGTGGCTCAGTCAGTTGAGCGTCCAACTTTGGTTCAGGTCACGATCTCATAGCCTGTGAGTTTGAGGCCAGCATTGGGCTCTGTTCTGACAGCTCAGAACCTAGAGCCTCATTCAGATTCTGTGTCTCCCCCTCTCTCCATCCCTCCCCTGATTGTGCTCTGTCTCCCTATAATAAATAAAAACGTTAAAAAAAAAAAAAGTAACAAAGACTGAACTTCCACTACCTACAAAGACATGGATGTAGTTCACAAATGTAAGGATGACCAGAAGGCTCAGACACAAAAGAGGACAGACTGTGTGACATTTATACAAAGTACAGGAACAGGCAAACTAGTAAATAATGGTAGAAATCAGAATAGTGATTATTCTGGGGAAGGGAGGAGATGGGAAATGAGGTGAGGGGGCCTCTGGATGCTGGAATGTCCCTATGTTGTTCTGGGTGATGGTTACATGGCTCTCTGTGTGTGTGTGTGTGTGTGTGTGTGTGTGTGTGAAAATTCATCAAATACACTTAACAACTGTGCACATCTCAGGGCCCTGGGTGGCTCAGTTGGTTAAGCGTCCGACTCTGGATTTCAGCTCAGGTCATGACCTCATGGTTTGTGAGTTAGAGCCCTGAGTCGGGCTCCAGGGTAACAGTATGAAACCTGCTTGGGATTCTCTCTCTGCTCCTCCCCTACTCATGCTCGCACTCTCTCTTTCTCAAAATAAGTAAATAAATAAACTTTAAGAGAAAATAGGGGCGCCTGGGTGGCTTAGTCGGTTAAGCGTCTGACTTTCGCTTAGGTCATGATCTCGCGGTTCGTGGGTTCAAGCCCTGCGTCGGGCTCTGTGCTGACTGCCAGCTCAGAGCCTGGAGCCTGTTTCAGAGTCTGTGACTCCCTCTCTCTCTGACCCTCCCCTGCTCAGGCTGTCTCTCTCTCTCCTAGAAATAAATAAAAATATTAAAAAAAAAAAAAAAAGAGAGAAAAGAATTGTGCACATCTCTGTAAATGTATTTGTCCTTAATTCTAAAAAGGAAAACGAAAAAGACCTAAACCAGAAGCCATAAACACAAAACTCTGTTTCCCCACAAGGCTATAAAGCAGTAGGGGGAGCGGGGGGTGGGAGGGAAGGAAGAAAAAGAATGGTTCTGGCTTAAAAACATTTCCAATTTTCTTATATGTATATATCACAGAGAATCTGAATTAATGAAAGCAAAAGTTAGGTGAAGACAGGACAAGTTATCTGGATTGAATCATCTATGTACTGCTGTAAAATGAAAGTGGTCAGGAACCCAGTCCTTGATATCAGATATAACTGCATTTAGTTGCTATCTGCTGGCTGTGCAGAATTGGGCAAGCCACTCAACCTCTCTGAGTCTGTTTCCTCACCCACCCAATCCTGACAAGACTATCTTATAAGGCTGATAGAAAGAATGAACGAGATAAGGCCCATAGAGCCTTCAGCACCGAGGAAGCAGGCAATGAAAAGAAGCTATTATCTACCATTATTTGTATTTATGTGTAACATACACCCATACAACTTCCAAAAGAGAGGGGAGTTGATGGACAAGAAAAGTAATGCACTCAACCAGGACATGACTAAGAAAATAGTCAATGCTTTTTAATAGAGTACAGGGAAGAGAATTCTACCTAATTCCTAGGCTTACAGTGACTCTAACAGAGAACTAGATTTTACTCTGAGCTTCTTGTGAGCCCAGACCAAAAGGGGATCGTGACAGGCTACCTAATACTTACTACCTGTGAAAAAGAGGAAGTATACCAGTTTTTCAAGAGGGCCACACTTCTTTCCCAGGATGAATTTCTGAAAAGAATATATCATAAGAATGTTTCCAAAGGGATCAGATAACCACATAATAAAGCTAGGGTTCACGGTCACCAGCAAAGAGCTCAGAAGCTCTAGAGAATCCAGGCAGAGGTGCAGGGGGGAAAGTGGGGGAAGGAGACGTTGGAGTCCTCTCCAGGTCACTATGAGATCAGCGGTTCCCTTGTAGAAGGGCAGCAGCATACAGCTATTTTTAGCCCATGGGTCGTGAACAAAAGTAACCACGCCACTTCCAAGCCAAGGCATTTAATAGCCCCATTTTTCCTGCGATAGCACTGAGTGTCATTTCACATAGGGACCCATTCATCAGCCTGGTTCCTGCATGACTACATAGAGCACAGCCCATCTCCACCAACTCACAATAGTTCTTATGAAAGTTTTTTTTTTTTAATGAAAGTTTTTTTAATGTTTATTTTTGAGAGAGAGAGAGAGACAAAGCATGAGTGAAGGAGGGGCAGAGAGAGAGGGAGACGCAGAATCTGAAGGAGACTCCAGGTTCTGAGCTGTCAGCACAGAA